ATCCTTCACCGTATCTATTTTACTTGATATTAGAGCCAGGTCAAAAAGACATTGAGCAAAATCAACATCCTTCATCGTATCTATTTTACTTGATATTAGAGCCAGGTCAAAAAGCCATTGAGCAAAATCAACATCCTTCACCGTATTTATTTTAATTGATGTTAGAGCCAGGTCAAAAAGCCATTGAGCAAAATCAACATCCTTCACCGTATCTATTTTACTTGATATTATAGCCAGGTCAAAAAGCCATTGAGCAAAATCAACATCCTTCACCGTATCTATTTTACTTGATATTAGAGCCAGGTCAAAAAGACATTGAGCAAAATCAACATCCTTCACCGTATTTATTTTAATTGATATTAGAGCCAAGTCAAAAAGACATTGAGCAAAATCAACATCCTTCACCGTATCTATTTTACTTGATATTAGAGCCAGGTCAAAAAGCCATTGAGCAAAATCAACATCCTTCACCGTATCTATTTTACTTGATATTAGAGCCAGGTCAAAAAGCCATTGAGCAAAATCAACATCCTTCACCGTATCTATTTTACTTGATATTAGAGCCAGGTCAAAAAGCCATTGAGCAAAATCAACATCCTTCACCGTATCTATTTTACTTGATATTAGAGCCAGGTCAAAAAGCCATTGAGCAAAATCAACATCCTTCACCGTATCTATTTTACTTGATATTAGAGCCAGGTCAAAAAGCCATTGAGCAAAATCAACATCCTTCACCGTATCTATTTTACTTGATATTAGAGCCAGGTCAAAAAGCCATTGAGCAAAATCAACATCCTTCACCGTATCTATTTTACTTGATATTAGAGCCAGGTCAAAAAGCCATTGAGCAAAATCAACATCCTTCACCGTATCTATTTTACTTGATATTAGAGCCAGGTCAAAAAGCCATTGAGCAAAATCAACATCCTTCACCGTATCTATTTTACTTGATATTAGAGCCAGGTCAAAAAGCCATTGAGCAAAATCAACATCCTTCACCGTATCTATTTTACTTGATATTAGAGCCAGGTCAAAAAGCCATTGAGCAAAATCAACATCCTTCACCGTATCTATTTTACTTGATATTAGAGCCAGGTCAAAAAGCCATTGAGCAAAATCAACATCCTTCACCGTATCTATTTTACTTGATATTAGAGCCAGGTCAAAAAGCCATTGAGCAAAATCAACATCCTTCACCGTATCTATTTTACTTGATATTAGAGCCAGGTCAAAAAGCCATTGAGCAAAATCAACATCCTTCACCGTATCTATTTTACTTGATATTAGAGCCAGGTCAAAAAGCCATTGAGCAAAATCAACATCCTTCACCGTATCTATTTTACTTGATATTAGAGCCAGGTCAAAAAGCCATTGAGCAAAATCAACATCCTTCACCGTATCTATTTTACTTGATATTAGAGCCAGGTCAAAAAGCCATTGAGCAAAATCAACATCCTTCACCGTATCTATTTTACTTGATATTAGAGCCAGGTCAAAAAGCCATTGAGCAAAATCAACATCCTTCACCGTATCTATTTTACTTGATATTAGAGCCAGGTCAAAAAGTCATTGAGCAAAATCAACATCCTTCACCGTATCTATTTTACTTGATATTAGAGCCAGGTCAAAAAGCCATTGAGCAAAATCAACATCCTTCACAGTATCTATTTTAATTTGATGTTAGAGCAAGGTCAAAAAGCCGTGACTGTCCCATGGTGGATCGTAAATAGTTCTTGATGAGCCTTTATTTTGAAAAGCTCTTATCACGTGAAGCCACACATATACAGATCGTAAGAAACACTTGAAGGCTTTGCGAGAGTACTGGCAGAGATTCTAGGAATTCTCATTTAGCTATGAAGTTAAAGACATCAAATACTGACCGGTCCATGAATTTGTGAAATTAATATCAACTGCCTTTGCGAGAGTACTGGCAGAGATTCTAGGAATTCTCATTTAGCTATGAAGTTAAAGACATCAAATACTGACCGGTCCATGAATTTGTGAAATTAATATCAACTGCCTTTAGGGCTCATGTAAGACTTAATATTTCTTTTGAAAGTTAATCTTCTGCTAATTCAACATAGAAAGAGGATAATTTTGGAATGGGCATCAAAACCTCTTCCAAACTAACTGATAGTAGACTCTGAGGTTTAACAGCCCAAAACATATCTGCTACTTTCTTGATCGTAGATGTTCTAATGTGGGATTTAGAATAAAAACTATTAATACACCCATGCGTCTCCTTACTGTTATCTTCAGACAGAGTCTAGCATCTATTAACTGTTCTCCTGCCATTCTCTTCTTAAACCTTAATCTTCTTTCTACAGAAATTCCATATTTGCCTTATTTTAAAAGTGCCTTTTCAATTGCTTGTTTCACCAAGTTACAGCGCTTCTCGTGGAGAAACAATCTTGAGGCCTTTAGGTTGGTCACCACTTTGTCAAGAGTATAGCCTTTGGTCTGCAGATAATGCTGTATAAGATTAACTTCCTTAAGTAGATGAGCCCAAATGGAAATGTAGCAGCTAAACTTGAAATCACAGACAGCATGCAAAAGACCTTGTGCTGTATGGCAAAAGTGCTTAAATGTTAAGGGGCGTTGCTGGTAGCGAATCGGCGATAATATTTATTTTTTAGTATTTCTTAGTTTTAATATATTTTGATTCAAAAACCATTTTTTAGATTTAGAAAAAAGATATTTGAAAATTTTGTAAAATATTATTTTGTTAACTCTATAAATGGGTATAGTGTAATTTTGAAAGTGTTTAATTTTTACCGATTCATGTACTGAGAATCGCTCGACCACATCGTATTTGATATCAATCGAAAGTTTTATTTCTCAGAATTTAGATAAATCTAGCTTCGTATCACTTACGTAAGATACCGAACACTTCAATCCTGGTCAAAACGGTGTTTGTCTGACCTAATTATAGGGTCACCCCATTTATGAGACATCAACCTTGAACTTTTAATAAAGCACGCATGTGGATTGGTTACGGGTGTGGAACATCGACATGTGATTGGTTAAATGTGTCGAACATTGACATGTGATCAGTTACCTGTGTGGAACATTGACATGTGGATTGGTTACCTGTATGGAACATTGACATGTGATCAGTTACCTGTGCGGAACATTGAAATGTGATCGGTTACCTGTGTGGAACATTGACACGTGATCGGTTACCTGTGTGGAACATTGACATGTGGATTGGTTACCTGTGTGGAACATTGACATGTGATCTGTTACCTGTGCGGAACATTGACATGTGATCGGTTACCTGTGTGGAACATTGACACGTGATCGGTTACCTGTGCGGAACATTGACATGTGATCGGTTACCTGTGTGGAACATTGACACGTGATCGGTTACCTGTGTGGAACATTGACATGTGATTGGTTACCTGTGTGGAACATTGACATGTGATTGGTTACCTGTGTGGAACATTTACATGTGATCGGTTACCTGTGTGGAACATTGACATGTGATTGTTTACCTGTGTGAAACATTGACATGTGATCGGTTACCTGTGTGGAACATTGACATGTGGATTGGTTACCTGTGTGGAACATTGACATGTGATCGGTTACCTGTGCGGAACATTGACATGTGATCGGTTACCTGTGTGGAACATTGACATGTGATCGGTTACCTGTGTGGAACATTGACATGTGATTGGTTACCTGTGTGGAACATTGACATGTGATTGGTTACCTGTGTGGAACATCGACATGTGATTGGTTACCTGTGTGGAACATTGACATGTGATTGGTTACCTGTGTGGAACATCGACATGTGATTGGTTACCTGTGTGGAACATTGACATGTGATTGGTTACCTGTGTGGAACATTGACATGTGATCGGTTACCTGTGTGGAACATTGAAATGTGATCGGTTACCTGTGTGGAACATTGACATGTGATTGGTTACCTGTGTTGAACATTGACATGTGATCGGTTACCTGTGTGGAACATTGACATGTGATTGGTTACCTATGTGGAACATTGACATGTGATCGGTTACCTGTGTGGAACATTGACATGTGATCGGTTAACTGTGTGGAACATTGACATGTGATCGGTTACCTGTGTGGAACATTGACATGTGATCGGTTACATGTGTGGAACATTGACATGTGATCGGTTACCTGTGTGGAACATTGACATGTGATCGGTTACCTGTGTGGAACATTGACATGTGATCGGTTACCTGTGTGGATTATTGACATGTGATCGGGTACCTGTGTGGAACATTGACATGTGATCGGTTATCCTCTTATGAAATTCGTTAAGACCGAGCAGGTTTTCCTCTCTTTAAATATGCAATTTTTCAATTTGGTGTCCCCCCTGAGATGTTGTCACCCGTTGCGGTTCGCACCCCCTAGCTGCGCCACTGGTTCTACTTAAGACATATTAGTCATTGGATTTACTAAGCCCTTTTGGGGGGAAATAACCAAGACCCCCTAACTCCGTTATTGGACATTCCATTTTTTTCTTGGTACTAATAGATTGACACGTGATACCACAAATAAGTTTTCTGTAATTTTGCTCGCAAATATTTAGTTCACATCGTGACTTCCCTCTTTTGTGTCAGTGTCATCGATCGTCAACCACTCACTTGAGTGCTGGTCACTTGAGTGCTGGTCATCTGGCTATAAAGAAATAGCTCAAGCTGGTGGCAAAAAAAAAAGTCTAAGCTGGGGAGGGGGACATTCACAAGATTTTACAATGACCTTTTGGTTTTACAATGACCTTTTGGTTTTACAATGACCTTTTGGTTTTACAATGGCCTTTTGGTTTTACAATGACCTTTTGGTTTTACAATGGCCTTTTGTTTTTTCAATGACCTTTGGTTTTACAATGACCTTTTGGGTTTACTCGTAGGTCCTTCATTTACTCATCCAGAAAAAAAAAGATGCAGGTCTCAGGATAGTTTGTGTATAAATCTAATGCCCATTTATCATCACATTTATCATCACAATTACCATCACATGTACCATCATATTTATCATCACATTTATCATCACAATTATCATTAAATTTACCATCACTTCGACGTGTTAATCCAATGAAAGTTAAAGCATTTATTCATATTAAAGGTTGATGATGTTAGTAATTATTGTGTTCAGAAAGAAGTCATTTTCTATACATTACATTATTTTATTTTTAAAAAAGTTTAGCACAGTGAAATATCAATAATGTTCTTGAAGTAATTCATTACAAAGCAAACATAAATATTGAAAGGCTTTTATTTCCTTAAAATTTCAAGCTACATGTTGACAAATCAGATTACATTTATCCGTTGGAAAAAAATATATCCTCTGTTTCTTGCAACATATACCTTCCACACACTTTTTTATCCTGGGGGTTGGAGTGAGGGCGTCGGGGGTGGCCCCCATGCTCCTATTTTCCTTTTCCTGTGAACGGCTTTCACAGCGCCTCAACAAGGCAGTCGGGGCTGTTGAAATGGAAGACGTTCTTGTAGCCGCACCTCACGATGTGATTGGCAGACTCGAACTTCGGACTGCCCGCCTCGCCCGTGCACGTCTTACCCAGGGGCAGGTCGTCCTCCCACTTGCCCTGGAAGAAGCCCTTCAGCTCAAAGTAGCCGCCCTCGAGAGCGTCGGCACAGTCCACGTCCAGGTCGGCGAGCCAGTAGTGAGCGCCGTAGCTGGAAGCAAGAATCAAAGACAGCAGACGTTGAGGATATGACAACAAATTCATGTTGATCATTATTTAATTGATAATGTAACGGCAGTGGTATTGAATTGCAACTCTGGATATGACAACACGGGGTTCCAGAGAGGAAAACGGGTGGGGGGTGGGGGTAGAGAGAGAGAGAGAGAGAGAGAGAGAGAAATATGTGTCGCCAATCTTCAAGAGACGATGTGTACTATCACTGAACGTGTCTCTGGGAAAATTACGCATCCTGTCATAGGTACACCATCTCCGGATTTTTTGGTCGCGATTGACTTGAGCAGCCCATCCTCGCTATGGTCCAATGAACTTCAAGTCTTACTGTGTTGGTATAAGTGTTGGCGATAGACTATTTTTATTTTATTTTATTTTAAGAGACGCTATTGTGACAGTATGAGTGACAAACGATATTGCTGAGTTAACGGAAATTTGATCGAAAGAAATTTCGTCGACGGTAAATTGATCGACGGAAATTTGATCGAACGGAAATTTGGTCGAATTTTTTTTTTTTCAGTTCAAACGTTAAAATTTTCGTCATATTTCTTTTTTAACGCACTGTACTATATAGTAAAACAAATAATGCATTCAAAAAGAAATTTTAAGCAATATTTTAACGTAAAAACTGAAGAAAAAAAAGATTTCCATTCGATCAAATTACCGTCAATCAATTTACCGTCGATAAACTTTCTTTCGATAAAAATTCCGGATACGATATTGTTGTAGTGTGTACTGATTGAACTATGTGACCTGATTGGCCTGTGTTGTTGTCATGTTGTATGACTGGACGTTGTGAGTTGGTTTCATAAATGTTTAAAATCAAATGTGGGAACATCGTTTGGTGAACTCCAGCGGGTGGTCACGTGATGTGAGGTATACAAAGAATGTAGAGTTGTTGATAAAGGTTCGTTGGTCACGTGATGTGAGGTATACAAAGAATGTAGAGTTGTTGATAAAGGTTCGTTGGTCACGTGATGTGAGGTATACAAAGAATGTAGAGTTGTTGATAAAGGTTAGTTTTTACACAGACCACAGGCTTGACTTGGTATTTTTATTATTATTTTTTTACAGCTACCTCTTATGACAGCTCTTTGTTAATTATTGACATCCAACCTAGTAGAAGGCACTGAGACTCACGTATTTAGAGGGTGGTAGGCAGGACTTGTGGCGTCATCGGTGGTCCAGATGGCGGGCGTGCCCTCAGCAGCAACCCCGTTCCACTTTCCTTGTTCCGGTTCCGGTCCAGTCCAGTCCAGATAGTTGTCGTAATAGTTCCAGTCATTCGCCTGAGATTTTAACAATTTAAATTCATTAAGTTTTTTCAAATTATTATTATTATTATTATTATTTTTGCAATTAAACTTTAGGAGTAGTTTATAAGTGTTTTGATGCAGTTTAAAGATTAAAGGGGCTGTTTTCTTACATTATGACTACAGTTTTATATTTGATAACAGGATGACTACAGCTTTATATTTGATTACAGGATGACTACAGCTTTATATTTGATTACAGGATGACTACAGCTTTGTACTTGGCTACAGGAGGACTACAGCTTTATATTTGGCTACAAGATGAATATAACTTTATTTTTTAGTCACAGAATGACTACATCTTATATTTGTTTACATGATGACTACGGCTTTATATATGGTTACAGGATAACTACGGCTTTATATTTGTTTACAGGAGGACTACGGCTTTATGTATGGTTACAGGATGACAGTATGATGGCAACAGCTTTATATCTGGTTACATGATGGCAACAGCTTTATATCTGGTTACATGATGGCAATAGCTTTATATCTAGTTACACGATGGCAATAGATTTATATCTAGTTACATGATGGCAATAGCTTTATATCTGGTTACACAATGGCAACAGCTTTATATCTGGTTACATGATGGCAACAGCTTTATATCTGGTTACATGATGGCAATAGCTTTATATCTGGTTACACAATGGCAACAGCTTTATATCTGGTTACATGATTGCAACAGCTTTATATCGGGTTACATGATGGCAACAGCTTTATATCTGGTTACATGATTGCAATAGCTTTATATCTGGTTACATGATGGCAACAGCTTTATATCTGGTTACATGATGGCAACAGCTTTATATCTGGTTACCGTTTAAACGCAGTTAGCAGTCTGACGCCTCACGTTACTTTTGGAGGCCCTTATGCCACTTCCGGTTAGTGAGCGGGGTGTGGTTCAAGGGGAAGATGGACACAGTAGGAAGTACATGGTTTGGGGGGGGGTGGTGGTGGAATATAGGGAGAGTGAACAGTAAAGAGAAGTATGTGAAAAAGGAGTTGGGGGTCAGGGAAAGAAGTTTACTGAGGTTGGGAGTGTGGGTGTGGAGAAAACCTTTTAAAATAACAGTTTGAAATTCGCTTCATTAGTTGTTTACCGGGTTTGTTAAAAAAAAAAATCTATATAATAGCACAGCCTCCTCAACCCCGTCCCCAAAAAGGTGGAGCTAATTTTGTGCAGCCCTAAGCTCCGTGTTCCCTATTAGATTTAGTAGAGATGTTATTTGAATTAATTTATTTTCGATTATGCTAGGCTTGGTCTGGCGATGTTCATACAAGAAATAGAAAAATGTCCTCTTACTAGGCTTCGTGTTTTCGCCTGCATCGATGGGTGAGAGATAGAGTGTGTGTATGACTTACCGCTGCATAGACTGGTGAGAGATAGAGTGTGTGTATGACTTACCGCTTCATAGACTGGTGAGAGATAGAATGTGTGTATGACTTACCGCTTCATAGACTGGTGAGAGATAGAGTGTGTGTATGACTTACCGCTGCATAGACTGGTGAGAGATAGAGTGTGTGTATGACTTACCGCTTCATAGACTGGTGAGAGATAGAGTGTGTGTATGACTTACCGCTGCATAGACTGGTGAGAGATAGAGTGTGTGTATGACTTACCGCTGCATAGACTGGTGAGAGATAGAGTGTGTGTATGAATTACCGCTTCATAGACTGGTGAGAGATAGAGTGTGTTTCCGAAGACAATGTGCATACAAGGAATTAAAACTTGCAATTTTTACTAGGCCTGATTTACCGCTTCATAGACTGGTGAGAGATGGACTGTGTGTATGACTTACCGCTTCATAGACTGGTGAGACATGGACTGTGTGTATGACTTACCGCTTCATAGACTGGTGAGAGATGGACTGTGTGTATGACTTACCGCTTCATAGACTGGTGAGAGATGGACTGTGTGTATGACTTACCGCTTCATAGACTGGTGAGAGATAGACTGTGTGTATGACTTACCGCTTCATAGACTGGTGAGAGATAGACTGTGTGTATGACTTACCGCTTCATAGACTGGTGAGAGATAGACTGAGTCTATTACTTACCGCTTCATAGACTGGTGAGAGATGGACTGTGTGTCTAATGCCAATGTTGCACCGATTCTCATCCACTGGAATTTCTTTTGAGCAATCTGAATGAACATTATAAGAGATATATGCATCATTCTCTGATAACATTGTAGGGCTTTGCTAGTTACACACAACTTCTCTGTCTTATGGACACACAAAATCTCTTTCCTATGGACACACAACCTCTCTATCCTATGGACACAGAACCTCTCTGTCCTATGGACACACAATATCTTTGTCCTATGGACACACAAACTCTCTGTCCTATGGACACACAACATCTCTGTCATATGGACACACAAACTCTCTATCCTATGGACACAGAACCTCTCTGTCCTATGGACACACAATATCTTTGTCCTATGGACACACAAACTCTCTGTCCTATGGACACACAACATCTCTGTCCTATGGACACACAACCTCTATGTTCTATGGACACACAACCTCTCTGTTCTATGGACACACAACCTTTCTGTCCTATGGACACACAACCTCTCTATCATATGGACACACATTCTCTATGTCAAATGGACACACAACCTCTCTGTCATATGGAAATACAACCTCTCTTATATATGGACACACAACCTCTCTATTATATGGGCACGCAACCTCTCTGTCATACAGACACCTAAGGTCTCTGTCCTATGGACACACAACCTCTCTGTCATATGGACACACAAACTCTCTGTTCTATGGACACACAACCTTTCTGTCCTATGGACACACAATATTTCTATCATATGGATACACATTCTCTATGTCAAATGGACACAAAACCTCTCTGTCCTATGGAAATACAACCTCTCTATTATATGGACACACCACCTCTCTATTATATGGGCACACAACCTCTCTATCATATGGACACACAACTTCTCTGTCCTTTGGACACACAACCTCTCTGTCTTATGGACACACAACTTCTCTGTCCTATGGACACACAAATTCTCTGTCATATGGACACACAACCTCTATGTCAAAGAGACTCACAATCTGTTTATTATACGGGCACACAACCTCTCTGTCCTATGGACATACAACCTCTCTGTTATATGGACACACAACCTCTCTATTATATGGGCACACAACCTCTTTGACCTATGAACACACAACCTCTCTGTCATACAGACACCTAAGGTCTCTGTCCTATGGACACACAACCTCTCTGTCCTATGGACACACAACCTCTCTGTCATACAGACACCTAAGGTCTCTGTACTATGGACACAAAACCTCTCTGTCCTATGGACACACAACCTCTCTGTCCTATGGACACACAACCTCTCTGTCATATGGACACACAACCTCTCTGTCCTATGGACACACAACCTCTCTGTCATACAGACACCTAAGGTCTCTGTCCTATGGACACACAACCTCTCTGTCCTATGGACACACAACCTCTCTGTCATACAGACACCTAAGGTCTCTGTCCTATGGATACACAACCTCTCTGTCCTATGGACACACAACCTCTCTGTCCTATGGACACACAACCTCTCTGTCATACAGACACCTAAGGTCTCTGTCCTATGGATACACAACCTCTCTGTCCTATGGATACACAACCTCTCTGTCCTATGGACACACAACCTCTCTGTCCTATGGACACACAACCTCTCTGTCCTATGGACACACAACCTCTCTGTCCTATGGACACACAACCTCTCTGTCCTATGGACACACAACCTCTCTGTCCTATGGACACACAACCTCTCTTTCAAATAGACACACATCCTCCCTTTTTTATAAAAATATAAATAATTAATAATGATGTGCCAAAGAACATAAGTCTACAATGCTTTTGTAATTTTAGTGATTTTGTTGGTATTTGAGTGGTATCATCAATTTGATATTTGGACCTTCACATTTGTATTTGGATAATTCTCGCCTATCGTTATTCAACAATCCGATAACTAAATGATGATTATTATTTAAACACGGTCACTTGAGTTGGACTTTGCAGTTTTATATGAAATTGATCATAATGTTAGACATTAACTTGGCAACTTCAATGTGTTTTAGACATTAGTTATACATAATAGAAGACATTATGTTAGATATTAATTTGTACATTTAGTTAGAAATTTAGTTAGAAATTTAGATAGAAATTTAGTTAGAAATTTAGTTAGAAATTTAGTTAGAAATTTTGATAGAAATTTAGTTAGAAATTCAGATAGAAATTTAGTTAGAAATTTAGATAGAAATTTATTTAGAAATTTAGATAGAAATTTAGTTAGAAATTTAGATAGAAATTTAGTTAGAAATTTAGTTAGAAATTTAGTTAGAAATTTTGATAGAAATTTAGTTAGAAATTCAGATAGAAATTTAGTTAGAAATTTAGATAGAAATTTAGTTAGAAATTTAGATAGAAATTTAGTTAGAAATTTAGATAGAAATTTAGTTAGAAATTTAGATAGAAATGTAGTTAGAAGTTTACATAGAAATTTAGTTCGAAATTTAGATAGAAATTTAGTTCGAAATTTAGTTAGAAATTTAGTTAGAAATTAATTTATAACTCTATTTAGAAATCAAGTTAGAAATTAAGCTAGAAATTAAGTTAGACGCTTCAGTGACATTGAAATGTTGGGGAAGTATCCCAATCTTACTTTCTCTGTTTGAATAATCGACGCCGCCCCGGAAGAAGACATTTTCGCCGTAGATGGTCGGTTTCTCCATCATGATGACGGTCCTCTTGAAGTCGTACGCATGTTGGGCTGCAAGATGACAAAAGCAATATTTTCAAAGACATTGATATGCACTAGCGTCTTCACGGCAATCTTTCCGTGGCAGTGTTCGTAGACCAGGACAAACATATTGGTCCTAAACGACCCTTGTCACACTTAGTTAATGTAATCGAAGCTCTTCTATCGATATATTATATACAGTGACACTACAAGCTAACCCAGTGGTTCTCAACTTTTCTAATTCCGCGACCCTTTAATGCATTTTCTCATGGTGAGAGGAAGAGAGAGAGAGAGAGAGAGAGAGAGAGAGAGAGAAAGAGAGAGGAAGACAGAGAGAGCACGATTAGAGAGAGAAAGAGGCAGAGAGAGAGAGGGGAGAGAAAGAAGGAGATAAAGGTAGAGAGAGAGCGAAGAGGGAGAGAGAGCGAGAGAGAGGTAGAGAGAGAAGGCGAGACAGATCATGTACAAATTACAATGAGCTGTCTAGGGTTAGACAACTTTCATCCCCCCCCTGACTCAACACTACCCTATGGTGCACACTCCACCCTAACTCAACACTACACTATGGTGCACACTCCACCCTGACTCAACACTACCCTATGGTGCACACTCCCCCTGCCCCAACACTACCCTTTGGTGCACACTCCCCCTGATTCAACACTACCCTATGGTGCACACTCCCCCTGCCCCAACACTACACTATGGTGCACACTCCTACTGACTCAACACTACCCTATGGTGCACACTCCACAGCTCAGATACACACATCAGCCTAAAAAAATATAGGATGACATACTGTAAAATAACTTTTTGTTAGATTTCTATGAGTATTTGACCGCTAGCCTACCTGCTGATACTCCAAGACAGACCAGAGACAAACAAAAGATCACAGACTGCCACATTCTCTGAGGTGAAAAAAAAACAGTATAACCATTTCAATATTACCATCTCAGTGTTTCAATCTCACCGAGTCCACCTAAGTGGTCCATCTAAGTGTTACCATCTCAGGGTTACCATCTGAGTGTTACCATCTAAGTGTTACCATCTCAGGGTTACCATCTGAGTGTTACCATCTGAGTGTTACCATCTCAGTGTTACCATCTGAGTGTTACCATCTGAGTGTTACCATCTCAGTGTTACCATCTGAGTGTTACCATCTCAGTGTTACCATCTCAGTGTTACCATCTGAGTGTTACCATCTCAGTGTTACCATCTCAGTGTTACCATCTCAGGGTTACCATCTGAGTGTTACCATCTAAGTGTTACCATCTCAGGGTTACCATCTGAGTGTTACCATCTGAGTGTTACCATCTCAGTGTTACCATCTGAGTGTTACCATCTGAGTGTTACCATCTCAGTGTTACCATCTGAGTGTTACCATCTCAGTGTTACCATCTCAGTGTTACCATCTGAATGTTACCATCTCAGTGTTACCATCTCAGTGTTACCATCTCAGTGTTACCATCTGAGTGTTACCATCTGAGTGTTACCATCTCAGTGTTACCATCTGAGTGTTACCATCTCAGTGTTACCATCTCAGTGTTACCATTTGAGTGTTACCATCTCAGGGGTACCATCTGAGTGTTACCATCTCAGTGTTACCATCTGAGTGTTACCATCTCAGTGTTACCATGTCAGTGTTACCATCTCAGTGTTACCATCTCAGTGTTACCATCTCAGTGTTACCATCTGAGTGTTACCATTTGAGTGTTACCATCTGAGTGTTACCATCTCAGTGTTACCATCTCAGTGTTACCATCTGAGTGTTACCATCTCAGAGTTACCATCTTAGTGTTACCATCTCAGTGTTACCATCTCAGTGTTACCATCTCAGTGTTACCATCTGAGTGTTACCATCTCAGGGTTACCATCTGAGTGTTACCATCTCAGGGTTATCCTCTCAGTGTTACCATCTCAGTGTTACCATCTCAGTGTTACCATCTCAGTGTTACCATCTCAGTGTTATCATCTCAGGGTTACCATCTCAGGGTTATCATCTCAGTGTTACCATCTCAGGGTTAACCATCTCAGGGTTATCATCTGTTTGTTACCATCTCAGTGTTACCATCTCAGTGTTACCATCTCAGGGTTACCATCTGAGTGTTATCATCTCAGTGTTACCATGTCAGGGTTACCATCTCAGTGTTACCATCTCAGTGTTACCATCTGAGTGTTACCATCTCAGGGTTACCATCTGAGTGTTACCATCTCAGTGTTATCATCTCAGTGTTACCATCTCAGTGTTACCATGTCAGTGTTACCATCTCAGTGTTACCATCTCAGTGTTACCATCTGAGTGTTACTATCTTAGTGTTACCATCTGAGTGTTACCATCTCAGTGTTACCATTTGAGTGTTACCATCTCAGGGTTACCATCTGAGTGTTACCATCTCAGTGTTACCATCTGAGTGTTACCATCTCAGTTTTACCATGTCAGTGTTACCATCTCAGTGTTACCATCTCAGTGTTACCATCTCAGTGTTACCATCTGAGTGTTACCATTTGAGTGTTACCATCTGAGTGTTACCATCTCAGTTTTACCATCTCAGTGTTACCATCTGAGTGTTACCATCTCAGAGTTATCATCTTAGTGTTACCATCTCAGTGTTACCATCTCAGTGTTACCATCTCAGTGTTACCATCTGAGTGTTACCATCTCAGGGTTACCATCTGAGTGTTACCATCTCAGGGTTATCATCTCAGTGTTACCATCTCAGTGTTACCATCTCAGTGTTACCATCTCAGTGTTACCATCTCAGTGTTACCATCTCAGTGTTATCATCTCAGGGTTACCATCTCAGGTTTATCATCTCAGTGTTACCATCTCAGGGTTAACCATCTCAGGGTTATCATCTGAGTGTTACCATCTCAGTGTTACCATCTCAGTGTTACCATCTCAGGGTTACCATCTGAGTGTTATCATCTCAGTGTTACCATGTCAGGGTTACCATCTCAGTGTTACCATCTCAGTGTTACCATCTCAGGGTTACCATCTCAGTGTTACCATCTCAGTGTTACCATCTCAGTGTTACCATCTCAGTGTTACCATCTCAGTGTTACCATCTCAGTGTTACCATCTCAGTGTTACCATCTCAGTGTTACCATCTCAGTGTTACCATCTCAGTGTTACCATCTGAGTGTTACTATCTTAGTGTTACCATCTGAGTGTTACCATCTCAGGGTTACCATCTGAGTGTTACCATCTGACTGTTACCATCTGAGTGTTACCATCTGAGTGTTACCATTTCATCGATTGACGCTTACGTTCACGACATAGATACCGTCTAGCACTACATACAACTACAGCATCGGATGCGACAAAGTGGCTCCCGTCCTCCATACAGTCATGGACACAGGCAGAGGGGGCAAACAAGAGGGCATCCCACCCTGGGTGGGACTTATTTTCTGGCGAAATTGTGGGTCTACTTCATATACTCACTCCCTTTAAACGGCTGAATTATTATGTATGTTGTTTTTGTCACGTAGTAGCGGCTTCAACTCTAGGACCGCCCCTGGGGTCCAAAAACTCTAGCTACTTCACTGCCACCCCCCCCCCCCAACCCCGATATTGTGTTAAACTTGAACTCGGCAGATTGCAGAAGTTAATATTCTATCTTTCAACAAAAGTGTTTGATTCTTGGTTCAAGCGGAAAAATATCAAAGTATACTTTGTATACAAAGATATATCTAATGTTAGGACATACCAAATTCGTTCGTGTAAACCGGTTGTTGGAAAGGTCCCAGTAGTCCTGTCTCTTCTAATGCAAGCTCTCATGTGTCCGTGCTCTTATACTGTTAGGTGACCTCGGGACTTCCCTAATCCAATGGATGAAGTCACCAGGTGTTTCTTTACGTCAGTGAAAAAGGTAATTACCTTTTAAAAATACCAATTACCATTACAGCGTGTTTGAATGAGGTCGCACCACCAGCATTGTTTGCGTCTCCTTACCAGACAGCCATTTCACCATGCACTTTTGTGGAATGAAGGATTCAGGCATTTGCATAATAATAGCGTTGCATTACCAATTATCGAGTATGCATATCAAACATGTTTGGAAACAGGTGGCCCCCAAACACAGAACTGTGTGAAGGAAAAGCTGCGCCCGGGACTCAGCCTCAATCAGTCGCTACTACTCCCAACCTGTTTCATCAATAAATGCGACCAACAAAGAAACAAAGCAGAAAGAGCTGTGGTCTACTGACAGCTGTGGTCCACTGACAGATGTAGTCCACTAACAGCTGTGGTCCACTAACAGATGTGGTCCACTGACAGCTGTGGTCCACTGACAGCTGTGGTCCACTAACAGCTGTGATCCACTGACAGCTGTGGTCAACTAACAGCTGTGGTCAACTGACAGCTGTGGTCCACTGAAAGATGTGATCCACTAACAAAGCCAAAGTGATCGAGGATACCCCATCATCTGGAAGGACCTCTTATAATTTCAATTGATATTCAGACCAAAGTGTAGGGGAAGCGATGAGTGTCCATTGGCAGCGTCAACGACTCTCTGCCTCGGGCACAATTGTTATGTTCATATCCTCATCACATACTATTACGAGTTGAGAATGTTTATAGCCGGCCACTTTATTTTAATAAATATAATTTCTGAGCAGTCGTCTTAATGCATTTACGCACATTTCCATTTTGTACCGACTAGCTTAGGCAATGTAGCATGAACACAATATTAGATGAACAGTGCAACTTAGGCTGGACTGTTGTAATAGTGAAACGTAGATTGGAGTCAGTTAAAGGTCTAAAGGTTATTGTGGGAATAAACGCTCATAAATTAGCGAGATAATAAAGAAGTAATGGACTTTGCTTACCGTTTGCTGCATGTATAATGAAACTCTGTCTAAACTGTAACGTGTAAGGCTTAGCGAAGTAAATTGTTTGCCAGCAAGCTGCTTTGGTGAGTAATGTTTTGAAAGGCTGCCTCCAACCAGATGCACGATAACAGGATGTAACACAGTGATCACCCTCACATGTAGCCCAATGACCTCCCTTAATTTGGTTAGATCGTATCTGATTTGGTTTTCTTCTCCTTGTCATATGTCATTTGTTAACAAACATGTAAGTAATTAGATACAATTCCGTACACAAGCGCCACATGCGCAACACAATGCGACACACAAACACTACATGGGCACCACAGTGCCACACCATGCACCACATGGCCACAGCACTGCGGACACACTGCCACACACATGGCTACCACACCGCGGACACACAAGCACCACACTCTCACACACAAGCACCAGATGGCCACCAGACTGCCACACACACAAGCACCAGATGGCCACCACACTTCCACACACACACAAGCACCAGATGGCCACCACACAGCCACACAAAAAAACACCAGATAGGCACCACACTGCCACACACACAAGCACCAGATGGTCACCCAACTTCCACACAAACAAGCACCAGATGGGCACCACACTGCCACACACACAAGTACCAGATGGGCACCACACTACCACACACAAGCACCAGATGGAAACCACACTGCCACTCAAAAGCACCAGATAGGCACCACACTGCCACACACAAGCACCAGATGGTCACCACACTGCAACACACACAAACACCAGATGGCCACCACACTGCCACACACAAAAGCACCAGATGGGCACCACACTGCCACACACAAAAGCACCAGATGGGCACCACACTGCCACACACAAAAGCACCAGATGGGCACAACACTGCCACACACAAGCATCAGATGGGCACCACTCTGACACACACACAAGCACCAGATGGCCACCACACTGCCACACAAGCACCAGATGAGCACCACACTGCCACACACAATCACACACAAAAGCACCAGATGGGCACCACACTCCCACACACAAGCACCAGATGGGCACCACTCTGACACACACACAAGCACCAGATGGCCACCACACTGCCACACAAGCACCAGATGAGCACCACACTGCCACACACAAGCACCAGATGGCCACCACACTTCCACACACACAAGCACCAGATGGCCACCACACTGCCATACACAAGCACCAGATGGTCACCACACTGCCACACACCAGCACCAGATGGGCACCACACCACAAGCACCACGTGGCCACCACACTGCCACACACACAAGCACCAGATGGGCACCACACTGCCACACACACACCAGCACTACATGGACACGCACAAGCCTTGTGACTCGTGTTTGTGAGTCGTGTCACCAGATGGAAACAATGAAGCGTTAACAAGCCAACAACAAACTAATAGGTTCGACACACTAAGCACAAAATAGAATCACGTGAGTAATAAGATGACATAGAACAGTGGTTCTCAATCTTCATAAAACCGCGCCCCTTTAATACAGTTCCTCAAGCTTTGATGACCCCCAACCATAGAATTATTTTCGTTGCTACTTCATAAATAAGTGTTTTCTGATGGACTTAGGCGACCACTGTGTAAGGTTCGTTCAACACACCCAACCAAGGGGTCGCGATCACCAGGTTGAGAACCGCTGGTATAGTATACATGGGTAATATGATGACGAAACTAGAGGGGAACCAGTGGGATTATGATGGCATTTTCAGCTGAGTTACCAAGACATCTCTTCTTTTGTATTGTTCCCCATAATTTTAAAGTTGGACGTGAAATGGTGGAGTTGACTAGTTCATAAGTTAGTTCCCCTGTGAAATTGTTTAAGAGTATACGCCCCTTGCTTTTCAAATCCTTTACGATAGCTTCGCTTTTTGTTCCTATGTTTCTGACCAAGGCGGTGCAAAATATTCGGATGGCTAAGTCACCCACTTCCCGTCAACCTATCGAGCTGAAACTTGCCACGTAGACTCATAGAATCCTTGCCGATGACAACACATTCTTTCAAATTGTGATCTCAAAACCCTGGCCCAACCCCTAAAAAACAGATTTGCCTTTGTTTCAAAGGGAAGATGAAGAATTAGGATGACAACGATTTTCCGAAATAAAATTCCAAATAACTGCGCTAAATGTGATTCTTTATAATAAAACATATTGCATGTGCCTTTGGAGGGTACTCTTTTCTGCTTATTATAGCCCACCAAACATCGGCGACAGCAATGAGTGAACTTCCCATTCACTAAAGTTACTTGACAAAACATGAACTCAAGTCACGCACATTTAAGAATGCCAATTTTGGCTACACCCCTCCCCCCCCCCCAATCATACGTCACTGCACACTTTTTATTTCACGCCCATGAACTATATTAATTATTCTGATGTCCCAAACACTTCTAAACCGAATATTTATTACACCATACTTAAATTGAGACGATTTCATTTAAGAATAGAAAATATTACGCACCAAACGCAGTTGCGTCATTTAAAAAAAATAATAATAATTTGGCGTCGTTATCGGGAATTATGTTTTGCACGCTAGTGAACTCATTATTGAAACATACATTCTTTCAAACACATACAATTATTGTTAATATACTTTCAATACCAAATACGCTGAATATGAAGCAGCCAGAAATGGAAGCAGTCCACGAGTCACACCAAAAGCTTAATATATAAGAGATTGTCTTTATGAGATAGTTGGTGTAAAAATAATATGATAACATATCCATGATTACGATTTTAGACTTTTCTTACAACTTTGAGTAATTTCTTTTCGTCACAGCAGTATTGTTACATAAAAATCTTCCTAGATAAAAGAGATGGGTGTGTATAGGGCATATTCTGTGTAAACCCCCATATAGCAACACCAGAGAATCCTGAACATGGAATGAGTAGGGAAATAGAAATAGAGGAAGAACTAAGAATACATGGAGGAGCCAGCTAGAAGCAGACCCACAAAGTATGGGATACATGGAGGATCCAGCTAGAATCAGCCACATAAGTATGGGATACATGGAGGAGCCAGCTAGAAGCAGACATAAAAAGTATGGGATACATATAGGAGACAGCTAGAAGCAAACACACAATGTATGGGATACATGGAGGAGCCAGCTAGAGGCAAACACAATGTATGAGATACATGGAGGATCCAGCTAGAGGCAGACACACAAAGTATGGGATACATGGAGGCGCCAGGTAGAGGCAGACACACAAAGTATTGGATACACCTGGAAGCAACTGGCAAGGGAAGCACAGGGCCGAGATTAATGGAAAATGCTTGTAGACGCCTTGTGCCCCAGACAGGGGTAAAAGACAAAAGTAAGTGGGTCGATTTCTTTTCTCCACAGCCGCACTGATACATCCAAATCTTCCGAGATAGAAAGGAACTTGCGACTCCCGATCAGACATTCGAATGACCAAACATCCTCAAGTCTTACGTCAACTTTGGAATACTTGCTTGCTTTACGATTTAATGAAACATTAAGTAAACAAGAGTTCTACGTCATGGAACTGGTTTGGGTGTGGGTGGTGGGGGATGGGTGGGGGGCAATAGACACTGGATGACGCACGTCACCGAATGACTTCCCCTTATTAAATTAATTTACTGTGTTTAAAATAAGTCCCTCAGGTTTGTTCGCCCGAAGAAGGGCAGACAGAGAAAGAGACTGAGTCAATAGTACACTGATTGTGTTTGTGTTGCTCAACACTGATTGTGTTTGTGTTCTTTAAGTGGACGCGCGAGACAATGACTTTGATGAGAACATCTCTGCATTAGACCGCTTCATTTACCGGTTCCTGGCCTTTCACCTTTTGAGGTTTCGATATTTGAGTTGGTGACTACAACCTCTGGAGTCAGATCAATTAATCCATGCCTGACTTCATTAAATTACAATGTGAAGCTGCGTTAAATTTGCAATTCATGGCATATGTTAAGTAACTGGCTGCTTAAGGTTGCAATGTCTGCTTGGGGTCGGTTACAATGTCTCATTTTGTTAGGTTACAATGTCTGACTTTGTTAGGTTACCATGTCTGACTTTGTTAGGTTACCATGTCTGACTGCATTAGGTTACAATATCTGACTGCGTTAGATTACATTTTTTTTAAAATTCTTCATCGACAGTGCTTGTTGTAGTGAAAGGTTTAATGTCAGAAACCGAGACTTGCATCAAAATGAATTTCTTTTAGTCGATCGGCCAGTGTGATATAAAAATATTCATATAGAATAGTATAGCCTGTGTGTTGACCTAGTTTTTGATCACCGCAAGCCGAGGCATTCAAGCTTACCTCCTATTGTCCCTTTTTTGTTTTGATATTAACGTCAAAGGTTAAGGTTAAACCATTACCTTCTCCTCCCGTAAATTGGAAAATTTTGTTTGACTCTAAACCAATTTCTAGAATTTCTTTTGTGAAGGGCTCGAACTCCATCCTTAAAAATAAGCCGGCCGCTTTCCCAGGCGGAGGAGATTTGCTAGTACGTGTGTGAAACGTAATATTATGATCTTTCTAGAATGTCACTTTTTGACCTTTTGTTATTTTTAATATTTAATTTTGTATAATTATATAAACTTAATGGTAAAATTTAAGTGAAAATTGTTAGTTTCACTATCTTTGGTATCGGTTTCCTTTTTTACTCGTTATCAGGGCATTGTTACGTGTTGCTTGTGTAGTAGCATTGACTTAAGCTGTATTTTGTTTAAACTGAGGGAGATTTATTCGTCAGTCTCACTCTCTCGTCCTCGCCTATTTGATTCAATGGCAAGACTTAGTCGTCTGCAAATAGACCAAGATTCAGTGGATGAGCGGTATTTTTTGTTTGTTTGTCCCACTGTGCTCTTTCCGCGTTCCACGTCGCAAGAATTGTAGGAATTTTAATTGTGTCATCGTCATACCGCCTACGGTACTCCATCTCCGGGTTTGATTTCAGAGTTGCCTTCTCTTAGATGGTTTGCTATCACAGGTTATCGAGTTCCATCCACCCGGGGTGCTGGTGTTGGTTTTCGTTGGTCTAGTCTTTTGATGGGGATGGAACACAATCCCATGCTCTCCCAGGTGTGCAGATAGAATTTGCTCAAACAGTGTGAAACCTAAGTGTCTACTTAGACAGAACACTAACTATGGAAAATCACTTTAACATAATTTGCAAGGTGATGTTTCTAGAACTGCGCACAATTAGTCATATTAGACCTTTCTTAACATTAGACGCATCGAATAGGCTGATATCTGCATTCGTGCTATCACGCATGGACTACTGCAATGCTCTCATGGTGAGTCTTCCAGCTACGCTCCTGAATAAAATTTAAAAAAGCACAGAATTATGCGGCTTGCATTGTTCTTTGCAAACGCTATTTCGACCATGCTAAAACACTTCTGAGAGAGCTGCATTGGCTGCCGGTCCGTGCTCACAAAATTGCAACCCTGTGCTACCGTTGTTTGCATGACCTGGCGCCGTCCTATCTCAAAGCGCTCATGTCGCCTTATGTACCCAATTGACAACTCCGCTCATCCGATAGTGGCAAACTCTCGATACCGCGTGTTCGCTTTGAGACTACGGAAGGCGCACTTTAGCATTTGTTTGCCCAATAATTTGGAACACCCTTCCTGTCACTCTCAGAAACAGCCAGACACTGGAATCCTTTAAACCCGATTTGAAAACACATCTATTTCGAAAACACCTACGGCGACGATGTTGTCTCCCATCTTTTCCAGCTAGCTATTATCTCCTAGATGTATATTGGCTTGTTGTTTATAGTTGAAAGAGATGAAAAGCTTTGAATGGGTTTGGCTCGTTTGTAGTTTGTGTAGTGTTGCGTTTTGTGTTGTGATGTGGTAAAATATCGAGTGTTTCATTTCTCTTTTAATATTGTTGACTTTGTACCACGCTTCCAGCCTTTGGGGATGAAGAGTGATTTCTAAAAAAACAAAAACTATTATTATTGTCCTTATTATTAGTTGGGGATTGACTCAGATGAAAACGCTTGGCAACACAGCATGCGTGGAACGTATTTTCCGCCGAACGAGCCAAACACTTTTATTTGTATAAGTGTGCCCATTAAGTTTGTTATTTATAAAATGTCTATAATTCACCTGTGTCAAAAAGGACTTTTATGATAAAATCTAAATACAGCATTAAACTATTTAAATTCAGATCGTAAAAACATATACTTATGATTTCAACGGAACAAACATTGCGAGTAGAGCTTTATTAAATTATCGTTTACAAAGGTTTGATTTCACAAACTCCACTGTTGAAGTGGAAGACATTCTTGTAGCCACATCTGGCGAAGTGATTCTTGGATGCGTACGGTGGACTTTGTACACCGAGCCCGGTACATGCCCCGGACAGCTGATCACCTTCCCAGGCACCATTTACAACAGCCTTGACCTCGAAAAATCCCTTCTCTGTTTTGGAGCAGTCCACCATGATATCGACAACCCAGTAATGCGGGCCATATCTGGAAATATATCTATATATGTTACCAGCAGTGTGTGAAATGCAGGCATTGTATGGAATTTAAAGTATAGAATTTAGTCAAAGTATGAAATATTTGATTTTCGTGATTATGTTACATAATTTGCCTAGGCATTTTATACATTGCCTAGATATTATACATAATGACAAATGTACTTCAGGCAAAGTTTAAAAATAGCATGATGAAAACGTTTTTTTTTTTTTTTGTTTGTTTGGAAAAACACGTTTGAAAACGACAGAAGAAATATGAAATAAGGAAAGCACGCCGTTAAAAAACTAACCCGGAAAGCAAAGGTAGCATCGAGCTACTTGATGCAGCAAGTAAGGCAAGCAAAGGTAGCATCGAGCTACTTGATGCAGCAAGTAAGGCAAGCAAAGGTAGCATCGAGCTACTTGATGCAGCAAGTAAGGCAAGCAAAGGTAGCATCGAGCTACTTGATGCAGCAAGTAAGGCAAGCAAAGGTAGCATCGAGCTACTTGATGCAGCAAGTAAGGCAAGCAAAGGTAGCATCGAGCTACTTGATGCAGCAAGTAAGGCAAGCAAAGGTAGCATCGAGCTACTTGATGCAGCAAGTAAGGCAAGCAAAGGTAGCATCGAGCTACTTGATGCAGCAAGTAAGGCAAGCAAAGGTAGCATCGAGCTACTTGATGCAGCAAGTAAGGCAAGCAAAGGTAGCATCGAGCTACTTGATGCAGCAAGTAAGGCTAGAGTGGCACTTTGAATTGCAATTAGTTTTCTTTTTCACACAGGCACATCATGTTTTGTCATTTGGTCATGCACATACACCTGACGAATCCTTGGCCGCTTCCTGTTGACTGAGAGATAGCAGCAGATCGGAGATGTATTTCATGGTCAGGGACGTCTTCAACTCTCAATAAGTCCTTTGGACATAAACGAAACTGCGATCTCGAGTACAGTTGTTTGAAGATACCGTGTGCAGTTCCATATCGGTAAAAGCCGTCTTCTGTCACTGTCAAACCACTGCCGATAGATTCCGTGAGTCATCCCGTCCCTTGTGAATGTCAGGAATAGGAACTCGCACAGTGGCTCGTAAAGAGTTTAGTTTCATTTTTCTGGCATGGATTTCTAGGTTCGATTTAGATTCTTTTCTAGCTTAATTCTACAGCTCTCTTAATCTTGGAATACAGGCCGCACAAAATACCAACACCATAACCTTCTATTTCCTCGTCTCCATCGTCGTTAGCAGCATGCCCACAGATAACATGAACATTACGATGACAGCTTCGGCACGTATGGGCACCGCTGCTTTCTTTTAAGCAGACACAACAAACAGCAGAAGTAGAAGGATCTTCGGTAACCATACCTTCACATCAGTTTAATTTTCTCCATTATCGTTTTCACTCTCTTTAGTATTCTGTGTTATAGGCTCTGTATCTTGCATCTGGTGATTGCTTCTTCATGCTGTGTTGTTTGTACGTTTTTATTATTTGTTCGAGTTCTTCCTGTCTGAATTTATTGCAAAATGTCAAGGGGAGGGCACGGCCTAGCCGAGAATCAAAAATGAATGGCGGGGTATTATATGCATTGCCGAGTTGCTCTTCGGCATTGTATAGAATGCCTAGGAAATTTGTGAAATAAAAACAATTTTATACTTTGCGGGATTTCACACATTTGCCGATAATATATATATACATTAAATTGTTTTTCTGTCTATACAGAAAATAATTTTTGAAAACTGTAAAATATTGGTATTAAATTTAGTAACAGAGCCATAAATAAAACTAAAAAAATTATAAAAGTATATAGTGCTTCTATGACGTCACTCATTCTGAAATTTCAAAAACAATGAAGTTGGTTTCAATTTTCTTTTTAAATAAATTTAACAACAACAAAATCATCAGCGACAAACTATCGGGGGAAGGGAGAAACAAGGGGAAAAATACATGGCATTGGATGTATGCTAAACATTTGTTTTCCTTTGAGTGAAAGGAGATAAATAATCATATTTCTATTAGGATGATAAGTGCTTTCCGGTGCAAGTAGTTTGTGATATCAATAGCACATCTTTTAAAGTCTGTAGGGTACATTTGTTGTTTCAGCGTTCAACCCGTGCGTAAATAACATTTGTAACAAAGCTATTTGATTACGGACATTTGAAACAATTAAAACGAGAAAACTAATATTTCTCTAGGCCTTTTAAAAATGACCTGTAAAATGAAGAGCATTATCTTGTGTATAATTAAGACAACTATCTTGTGTATAATTAAGACCACTATTTGCGTATAATGAAGACCATTATCTTGTGTATAATTGAGACCATTATCTTGTGTATAATTAAGACTACTATCCATCATTTAAATAATGAATCCAAATAAGACGCAATGGATACATCTGTTTGTGTTTATCGGATTCACATAATTTTCCAGAGCCATCTCCTTGCGCAGAGATATGGATTCCTTGACAAAATTGATAATACATTTTAACGCCTTTGGAAATATCTACAAAATTTAGTATTTTAGTTTTTTGGAGGTCTGAGTCTAACGTATGGTCCTCTATTCGCAAAGTGTGTCAGAATTAAGATGATAAGCAGTTTAAGTGTTTCATTATTGTGCTCTGATGGCCGTTTCAGCCTTTGTTAGACAAGAGACTAAGATACGCTGGTTGTCAATGTGCTATACAAATAAAAATTTAACGATATGCCTACAACAGGATCTTAATAGTTGATTATAAAATCTACCATCTAGTTATTTCGTGAAGGATATGTGTCCAACAAGATATGGATAAACCTTTAAAAAATGACAAAACGAAACTTGGAAGGTGTCGGCAAGATGCCTTCTTTGGCGATCAAACAAAGACGAACATAAATATAACAAAATAGAATGTCGCTGAAATGATGTATGCTGGGGACAGCAAGAAGAATGTGCTAGACCATTCGTTGGTAAGTGAGCTAATATAGGCCAATTGGGGAGGGGGGAGAGAGGAAAACGTAAGTCAACGGCGATTGGTTGTAGCAATGGGAAAAAGATTTCCCAGGTGAAAGAAAACATTTCATTCATGCCATGTGGTGTCAAGGTCCCATACTAGCGTATCACTTTGCTCTTTAAGTTCACCCTTGCGGATGCAGTGTCTTTCCCACCACCTTTTCTTATAATTATTTCACTAATAGAATTTCGCCAACCCATCCTTCAAGCGTAAAGTTAAGAGTGTCACCCTGCACCTATTGGCACTTGCTTGACACGAACATTTGAGGAGATACAACTCCAAGAACTGTACAAGCTTGGTCCATTCAGTTTTAAAAAAGAAACTAGATAAAATATTCCACATTTCTAGCGTCGGCATTTCGCAGATCATCGTGTAACAACTGTCCCTGGATGGATGTCGAGTGGGCAGATCATTTTCGGTGAGCTGTCACGTGATGGGTGTCTAGATTTTACTGCCACAGCTAGAAAGATAATTTAGCTTACGTGTTCAGATCACTGTACCCAGAGTTAGACCTTTCGTTTGTTGACCAAAAAGCAGGAGTGCCCTCCGATTGGCGCCCCTGATAGGCGCCCTGACCAGATTCCGGTCCAGCCCAGTCCAAGAAGTTGTCTCCGACGCTCCATGCCTTAACCTGAGAAAAACATGGTCGAACCGTCAGTTAACTCAGGTCAACGAGATCATTCAAGTATGCCGCAAGTATCATGCTAGTATCATACTAGTACCACGCAAGAATATTACTAGTATCAAGCTAATATCATGCTAGTATCATGTTAGTGTCATGCTATAACACGCTAGTATCATGCTAGTATTATGTTAGTATCATGCTAGTATCATTCTAGTATTCTGCTAGTATCATGCTAGTAGCATGCTAGTATCACTCTAGTATTATGTTACTATCATGTTAGTATCAAGCTAGTTTCACGCTAGTATCATGCTAGTATGTTATTATCCTGCAAGTATCATGCCAGTATCCTGCTATATCATGCTAGAGTCAAGCTAGTAGCATGTTAGTATCATGCTATTATCATACTAGTATCATGTTATTATCATGCTAGCACCATGCTAGTATCACGCTAGTATCATGCTATTATCATACTAGTATTATGCTAGTATCATCCAATTATCATGCTAGTATCATGCTAGTCCTACAGTGTTCATGCTAGTCCTACAGTGTTCACGCAAGCGCTACAGTGTTCACGCTAGTCCTACAGTGTTCATGATAGTTCTAATTGGATATTTTAGTTGATAAAATGTGGAGTAAAACATGACTTGTTGAAATGCTTTCGTTTCGGGTTCATTGCCTGTTAGATTTTCTATATATTAATATATATATTTTTTAAACTTTAAAGACATATATGAATATTATGATTTAATTTGACCTTGTCGAAGTGATTGCTGCTTCCAGGGTCGTTGTGTTTGATGGGAATGGCGCACGGGTTTGTAGTGACTGGAGTTGTCGCTGAACAGCCTGTTCACATAACATAGAACTAATGTAATATAGAACAAATGTAACAGATCAAATGTTACATAGAACAAAAGTAACATAGAACAAATGTTTCCTTTAATTAAACATTAGAGCCGAGGCACAAGCTAAAATTATAAAGAAAAGTGACCCAAAATTAATTTTTTTTTTTATACCTTTCTTGTAGTGGATTCATATTTAAAGAAATTTACGCCAAAGCAAAAAATTATAAATTTATATTTTGTTTCCCATTGTCTAACAGATAATGAAGGAAGTCAAAATACAATGTTGGAAGTTAAGAGTCGTCCACGTCTATGATCACTGTTGGGAGGTTTTTAGAAGCGCAAACATAGGAGCCAGAATGATCAATCCATTGATCGTGGGCCCTCAAAATATAGAAGAAGAAGAACAACAATACAAAGACAGCACAGCTTTATAACTGGCCTTCAAGTTGCAGATAAACATTTCATTAATCTATTAATTTTATGCCATACGTTATTTTAAACCTGGTATTTATTTCGTTTCTTAAAATCTCTGCTTCAGGCGTGCACATTTTTATTTGGTTGCTGCTCAAAAGAGAGTTACCTCCTCTTTGGCCGTAATCGATCCCACCCCTGATGAAAAGGTCCTGTCCTGGATTCGTCTGCTTCTCCACCAAGATCACGGTCCTCTGGAAGTCCTCTGATCCAGACGGCACGTACGGGGGCAGGGTCTGGGTGGGGCCCGTCACGACAGGGGCGTTGGTGGGGTTGGGGTTGGAATTGGGGTTGTCAGTCACCACCGGGACGACAATGCTGTCACCGCCCTCTGGAAACAAAAACATTTAAGTACGCAGGAAATGACGTCATTGGCATTTTGTTCCACGAATTTTTTTAAAAGAAATACTGTTACATGAGGTTAATAAAAATACTTTCGTATGTAATCCAAAAAGATCTTTGGAATGTACACGTTTAAGAGACTCACGGGCAATAATGGCCACGAAGGGATCACTGGGATCCTTGGGGCTGACTTGGGCGCGTCCACTGCCGTCAACTCTAATCTTCTGAGCACACTCGCTGATCAGGTCACAGTACTCGCCAGCGGGTAGACCTGGACAGGCATGAGATTTCATTAGTTGTTGTGTTTGTCGAGATCACATTTAATTCATATTTTTAATTCGAGATCAAATTCATGCTGTATTAACTTGATAGCACGCTTTTAGAAAAGTAACCATTGATTTGCTACAAATGGGGAAGCCAAACAGGCTAATAGTAACATTGAGATTTACTTCATATGAAAGTCAGCGAAGTTACGTAGATAGCATAAACTGGTCAAAAATCTTAATTGGCAAGTTACGTGGCCGGATTGTGTTGAAATTAAGGATCATTAAGAGAAATTTCGTCAATAGAAGTATAATCACTATAAGTGTGATCAATAGAAATGTGATCAATAGAAATGTTATCAATGGAAATGGTATCACTATAAATGTTATCAATAGAAATTTGAATATGAAATATTTATGTTTCTATAATTACAACAAAGGAGCGACAGTTTCCTAGTGGACTATGACACACACAAAACTTTTTTCTCTAATTTAGATATTCTTGGTGCTCATAAGTAAAGTAGTGGATCATAAAAAATAAATAATCATAAATAATCGATCGGTTCATGAACTGTGACAAGTGGTATGATACAAGGTTCACACACATTAAGCTACCTGTATTAAGAGAAAAACGAAACCTTTTGATTTACTCATCTGTGTTGACAGAGACACTTAAACTGCCAATGACTCACCCGTATTGAAAGAGACACCACACCTGTTGGTTTACCTCACCTGTGTTGACAGAGACACTGAAGCTGTTGACACTCATGGCAAAGAATCCCTTGTTGCCTCTGTTAAACGTCAAGACCCCGTTGTCGTACTTGAAGTTGTCCACGCTGGTGCCAGCCACAGCGTTTCTGAACATGGCCATGTTGCCGATTGGCTTCCACCTGTTGTGGGGAGTTGTTTTTTTATAATTATTTTAATGGGTGACGGTGCCTAAAAACAATTCAAATAACTTTATTTATCAATGGTAATCAAAACGGTAATAATTGGATGCATATTTTTTTAAAAATAAGACTCGGTTCAGACCACTCGGCCACCCAGCGCCACAATATGGAGTACAATCCCCACCAAAGACCAAGACAAGTAAGTACTCAAGGAAGATGGGACACTTTAACCTTGGATGGCAACTCATCTAAGAGAAGGCAACTCTGAATCGAAACCTGGAGAAGGAGTCCCGCAGGCGGATACATTGACACAATGAAATTACCGACAACTCCTGCGACGCTACTGGTGCCAAGCTGTATTATCCACATATGGTATTCCTTTGAGTTACCCATGTGCGTGGTCAGAGCCGATTTTCTGTCTATGTCTAGGGAACCAGCTAATAGTCCTAAAATAAAAATCCCAGGCCATGTGATTTCGTCGTACGCGTCTGCACCATCGTCACATTGCGACGGACGGATGGCATTAAAAATATAATATGAGTAATGCACCCCACAGCTCAGCTCCCCGTCGATATTTGAAGTTGAGAAATGACATAGGTACCTAAAGAACTTAACGAACATTCACAGCATGATGACCATGGCATTGACACCATGATGACCTAGACACCATGACGACCTAGACACCATGATGACCAAGACACCATGACGACCTAGACACCATGATAACCAAAGCCTTGACACCAGAACGCACCTGTGCTCACAGACCCATCCGTTGTCACAGGTGCCGTCCGACTTAATGATGACGTCCTTGGCAGACATGTCCGAGTTACGAGGTGGCCCGGCCGAGTTGTCAGTGAAGTAGTAGCTGGACATGACACGGGTGAACCCGTAGTTGTAGGCCAGCATGAAGGCCACGGCTCTCTTGTACTCGGCGCCATTCTGTTTTTGGCAAGACACATTGACATGAAGCATTCATAGTTTAAAGTCAGTCCACACGATCGAATTCCTTTCAAATTAGCTTCAAAGCAGCGTCAAACTTTTGTATGAACGCACTGCTTTGTGGGTAATTTCTTTCTTTTTTTTTTTTTTTTTTTTAAACACAAATGAGAATTTGATCACATAGTGATTTGAAAGTTGTGATTTGAAAGTTGCGATTTGAAAGTTGTGATTTGAAAGTTGTGATTTGAGAGTTGTGATTTGAAAGTTGTGATATGAAAGTTGCGATTTGAAAGTTGTGATTTGAAAGTTGTGATTTGAAAGTTGTGATGTGAAAGTTGTGATTTGAAAGTTGTGATTTGAAAGTTGTGATTTGAAAGTTGCGATTTGAAAGTTGTGATTTAAAAGTTGTGATTTAAAAGTTGTGATTTGAAAGTTGTGATTTGAAAGTTTTGATTTGAAAGTTGCGATTTGAAAGTTTTGATTTGAAAGTTGCGATTTGAAAGTTGTGATTTAAAAGTTGTGATTTAAAAGTTGTGATTTGAAAGTTGCGATTTGAAAGTTGTGATTTGAAAGTTGTGATTTGAAAGTTGTGATTTGAAAGTTGTGATTTGAAAGTTGTGATTTGAAAGTTTTGATTTGAAAGTTGCGATTTGAAAGTTGTGATTTAAAAGTTGTGATTTAAAAGTTGTGATTGGAAAGTTGTGATTTGATAGTTGAGATTTGAAAGTTTGACAAGGCTTCATCCAATGTATGAACGAAAATTTGAAAGGAATTTGATCGTGTGAACTGAGCCTAACGTAATTTTTGAAGTAGGCATAATGAATGTCAACTTTGTCAAATGGCAAATTCGAAATTCATAATGTAGTGATGGTTATTGCAAACAGAACTTTTGGTTATGTGCACGTGGTGGGGTTTAGGGTTTGGGGTGGGGGGGTGGGATTATAGGATTAAAAGTCAAAAGAAAAAAATAGTATTATTCATATACACTTACAAAGAAAATTACGGTTAATAAAAAGTTTATTCTGTTCCTTTTTTCCTGTGATCTTTTCTATGGATGACCCCCATTCAATAGTTAATGTCACACTGACCTTGTAGGTCAGAGCCTCGTTTCCCCTCTGGGTGTCATGGTTGTCCACAAAAACAAAGGCGTTGTCGGGAGAAGCCATTCCCCAGCCGGGGTCATAGACTGACCCTAGACGGCCAAGGTCGCCACTTGCACCTTCTTTGACCTTTTGTGGGAACCTGAACTCTGGAAAAGGACAAAGTTCACCTGACTAGTAAGACAGAGGTACAATTTGAAGTACAATTTTAAAGTACAATTTGAAGTACACTTTTAAAGTACAATTTGAAGTACACTTTTAAAGTACAATTTGTATTACACTTTTAAAGTACAATTTGAAGGACAATTTTAAAGTACAATTTGAAGTACAATTTTAAAGTACAATTTGAAGTACACTTTTAAAGTACAATTTGAAGTACACTTTTAAAGTACAATTTGTATTACACTTTTAAAGTACAATTTGAAGGACAATTTTAAAGTACAATTTGAAGTACAATTTTAAAGTACAATTTGAAGTACACTTTTAAAGTACAATTTGAAGTACAATTTTAAAGTACAATTTGAAGTACAATTTGAAGTACAATTTTAAAGTACAATTTGAAGTACAATTTTAAAGTACAATTTGAAGTACAATTTTAAAGTACAATTTGAAGTACAATTTTAAAGTACAATTTGTAGTACAATTTTAAAGTACAATTTGAAGTACAATTTTAAAGTATAATTTGAAATACACTTTTAAAGTACAATTTGAAGTACAATTTCAAAGTACAATTTGAAGTACAATTTTAAAGTACCATTTGAAGTACACTTTTAAAGTGCAATTTGAAGTACACTTTTGAAGTACAATTTGAAGCGCAATTTGATTACAAAAACTTTTCTCCGTGGCTCTAATTGTTAATCTCTACAGAACTCTCTGGCAGTAAAAAATAGACAATTGATACCAATGTTTGGTCAAAACTGATATTTAAGATTTTCATTTTGTAAGTGACTAAATGTATTAGGTGTTACCACCCCCTCCCGACCCCCTCCCGCCCAACCTTACATCCGCCTTTTCAATCTTAAGATTTTTCACTTTGGTAAAGACAATATTGTTTTCATATTGGTAATTGATCAAATGTTTCTCTCAGTGCAAACAAGAAACCGTTGAAAAGGGGGTAGCCCACCTGTGACGTAGCCAAGATGGTAGTACTCGTCCACTTTAATGGCACCATCATTTCTGTCAATGACCTCGTGGTAGAAAAATGGTCGCCCCCCTTCGGGCAGGTCATGGGTCTATTGATACACAACGTAAGGTAAAATAATAATTATGAAAATTGTATAAATAGGCGAGTCGGCCGGAGACTTTAAGTGGCACAGGAGTATTGAAAGTCTTTTACTTTAAAAAAAAACAACAAAACAACATAATTCTAGTTTAACATCCTGCTAATGTGACATCCTGCTAATGTGACATTCTGCTAATGTAACCGCCCGCTAGTTTAACAGCCAGCTAGTGTAACAGACAGCTATTGTGACATCCTAATGATAATGGAGATTTTTTTAAATGAAATGCTACTAGTGTAACATCTTGTTATTGTAACATCCTGCTCCTGCAACATACTACCATTGTGACAGCCAGCTAGTGTAACAACCAGCTAGTGTAAGAGCCAGCTAGTGTGACATCACGCTAATATGAATCAAGAATTATAAGATCCAAAACAAATATACTTAATGTTTTGTTTATATTCAGGGAAATCTAAGATTGTTCTTATAAACAAATCTAAGAGTAATGTACGGAAACGTAACAAGGAAACAAGGGCTTGCCAAAGAAATATTGCAGGGCACCACAAGAGGGGGGAGAAGAAGAGGAAGACAGACAAAAAAAAATGGGAAGATAACATCAAAGAGTGGAAGGGACTAAAACTAGGTGATGCTGTGCTTTGTGAAGACAGCGACGAATGGAGGAGGATAGTTCACATGTCATCTGTGGCGTCCCAACTGTCCAAGGACTAAGGGACATGATGATGATGAAAAGTAATGTAGGTGTAAAATCCTGGCAGTATTTGGTGGCGTATTTAAAGTGTACAGCAAACCAATACCATGTTCAATACCTTGGTCAAAATGGCTTCCAGGTCCTTTGGCCACATGTGTTTAGCGGCGTCCACACGGAACCCAGCCACACCAATTTCGATGAGGTGGTTGAAGTAGCCAGCGACCTTGTCCTGGACGTAAGCCTGGCTACCGTCCAAGTCGGTCAGACCCACAAGGTAGCAATTTCTGACGTTTTTCGGGTCACCGTAGCTAGAGGTAGAACATCAAAAGAAAATTGTCTTCACGAGCGATGTGGTAGAGTTTGGCAACAAGAAGGGCACACGAAAGTTTCTTGACTGGGAAAACATTCTAACATTACATTTAAATAGAAAGATAAAATAGCATTGACTTAAATGAGAAAAGCGTACATGAAATTTACATGAGATTTCTTCTTCTTCTGTATATTAAGGGCCCACGATTAATTTGTTGATCATTTTTGTATCCCCGTGCATGTAGAGGGGATTTGCTATGTTTATGTGTATGTTGTTAATGAGGATATTTCACTGGTTGCAAGGGCTTCTTTGTGAGGGTATCATGCACTGGGGGTTGGAAGGCCTGAGGCAATAGACGCAAATGTGTCACGTGTTTTCACCTCAAAATTTCTTCAAAATAACATGAGAAAATTAGGAAGATAAGCATAGCTAACATCTACCTTATTGTCGAAAAAAAAAACTAATTCATTTTCCTTATGGGGTTAACGTAACAGACATTTATTTAGACGTGTACTGGAATTTGTATAATTAATATATCCGATAACTCACAACCGAAACTATGATTACATGTGTTGCGTCATCTTAACTGGCCAATGAAACTCTTAATAGGCCTAAATGTGTATTGCCTACTTGGCTGACATATCATAACTGTCGTCTCGGCTGTGAAATATCTGTCTGCATCAAAATAGAGATGACGTATAGACTTAATTTGCTGATTTTATGCTGTTGATAATGAGTAGTTTCAATACGTGTTCATTAATCTAAACGTCGTGGCCATCCAGAAAAATGACAAAGTCATACAATACATAGACAGGGGAGGGGGTGTGAGCGGCTGGATTATAATGTACTGACAAAATCTAATAAGCAATTGAGTGATTTTAAAAAAAAAACTACTTCCTTTTAAACGGCTATCTTAGGAAAATATCAACAAATTATCGGTGGAATATGGGCAACCTGTGTGGACTATGTTCACCAGGCTGCCCTTTGTGGATTACGTCCACCAGGCTGCCCTTTTGTGATTATGTCCAGCACGCTGCCCTTAGTGGATCATGTCCACCAGGCTGCCCTTTGTGGATTATCCCCTGCAGTCTGCCCTAGAAACTAGAACCTACAAATACATTTAAGCAATGCGATTTACTTGTTCACGTTGCCGTCCCCAGAGGGGCAGTCACTCCTGTCGTTAAAGTTCTCTTTCGTGAACGGAACACCTGGAAAATCCCTGGCATCCGAGTTAAAAGTACTTCCGGCCGTGCCGACCCCTGACCTCCCGAGACCGGCCATGTGGTTGACAACGGCGTCGACAAAAACTCTGAGAAAATGCAAAATGGTTGAAAGTTAACTTAGACGCCACGGAGACGGTGACAAGGGGGAGCAGGGACCTACTTGTTCACGTTACCATCGTGAGACTGGCAGTCGCTCCTGTCGTTGAAGTTCTCTATGGTGAAGGGCACTCCCGGGAAGTCTCTGGCGTCGGAATCAAAATGGCTGCCAGCCGTGCCGGTCCCGGAACGCCCAAGGCCAGCCATGTGATTCACGACAGCGTCTACGTAAACTCTGTCATATAAACATATGGAGATAAATATTGCACAGCGGACTTTAAAGTATGAAAAAAGAATTTGTAAAAAACAAACAAAAAAAAACAGACAAATAAAAACAAAGTTTTTTGACTAAATCTTTTAAATACATTTTAAATGTTATTATATCAATATTCTATTGTACCAACCGCTTTTATGCCGCAGAGTTACTTCACCAACTATTTCTGAAGTACGCACCAAACACACATGCGATATTAAAAAAAAAAAAAGAATCTCATTCAACGCAGTTATCGGGAATTTCATTTTCAGATATCAGTGGCATCATATTTCCTTCACATTCCCCTTAAAATACAGAAAAAAACAGATTTTTGGAGGGTGGGGCGCGGGGCTGAAAATTTGACAGAATGCGATGTCATCGGCAAAGAGTCTAAGCGCCAAGTTTTAGTTCGATAGAATGACGGGAACATACGAACAAATGCGAAGTTACTATAAAGTAATTTGAAAAAGCAATTTTTATTTCTCAAGCTGGCAATAACAATACGCTATGAAAGATTCACAAATTTATGATATTTTTTTTTACAGAGGCAACGCCGCGGGGAGCATATTTTTATTTATTTTTTACAATTCTTTTTATGAATCAATAAATTATATTTTTTTCAATTAGTTAACTTTCTTTATGTGACAGCGTTTAAATTGTTTTTAATGTGGTCTTTATTCAAAGTGGTAGAAACTTACTTTAGAGGATATGGGATGTTAAAATTTAGGTTTTTACGATGAAGGAAGAGAGGATCTAACTGACGTGAGAGAAAATATTACTGACGCAAGAGAGGAGCTTACTGACGCAAGAGAAGATCTTACTGACGCAAGAGAAGATCTTAATGACGCAAGAGAAGATCTTACTGACACAAGAGAAGATTTTACTGACACAAGAGAAGATCTACAGACACAAGAGAATATCTTACTGAAACTAGAGAAGATCTTACTGACGCAAGAGAAGATCATACTGACGCAAGAGTAGTTCTTACTGACGCAAGAGATGATCTTACCGACGCAAAAGAAGATCTTACTGACACAAGAGAAGTTCTTACTGACGCAAGAGAAGATCTTACTGACGCAAGTGAATATCTTACTGAAACACGAGAAGATCTTACTGACGCAAGAGAAGATCTTACTGACGCAAGAGAAGATCTTACTGACACAAGAGAAGATCTACAGACACAAGGGAATATCTTACTGAAACACAAGAAGATCTTACTGACACTAGAGATGATCATACCGACGCAAGAGAAGATCTTACTGACACAAGAGAAGATTTTAGTGATACAAGAGAAGATCTTAATGACGAAAAGAATATATAACTGACGCAAAGGAAGATCTTATTGACACAAGATAAGATCTTACTGACGCAAGAGAAGATCTTACTGACTTAAGCGAAGATCTGACAGACACTAAATGTTTTACAAATATTGTGCAATCCCCCCTCCTTTATATGGGCGAATCTCAAACAGTTGAGGATTTCAAACAGTGGAGGATCTCAAACTGTGGGGAAGATCTCAAACTGTGGGGAGGATCTCAAACTGTGGGGAGGATCTCAAACTGTGGAGAGGATCTCAAACTGTGGGGAGGATCTCAAACTGTGGCGAGGATTTCAAACTGTGGGGAGGATCTCAAACTGTGGGGAGGATCTCAAACTGTTCTATTAATTTAAATAATAAAGCACCACAAAGTTCGGGGAAATTTCAAAGTCTCATCCTCAATTCGCAATGACGTCCCGGTCACGTGATATCTTAAAATTGTCTAAACGCCTGAGATAATCTATTATGCTTGAATAACATAATGGGGTAAAGAGGATTCCATTAATTTCCATTCCCCTACACTGTCTTGTATAAACCAATGGGAGGGGGAGGGGGTGGGGGTGGGAGGTAGGAATACATGATATAAGGATTCGGATCAACTTTTCGATTCCGACTCCATACTCAACCAAAACAATATTTTCGATTATTTGACACAATTATCACCATCCTAGTTTTATGTATTACCTATAACTTTCACTTTCTTCCCTTTAACTCAAAATGTCTGAGATTAAATTTACCCCCGGCTGGTCTTACACCTCTTGACTGTCGTCTGAGAGCGGACCCCCGTCAGTAGGTCCTGCTGAAAGCTGATGGGAACTCAACACCAAAGTGTAGGAAAGAAATTACCCCATAAATCAGATTCCTTATATCATATACCAAATATTGTAAATCATTTTTATGTATCATATACAATATAACATAAAGCATATATCATATACCATATGTCTTATACCATACATCATATATCATATGCGACATCGTACCTGACGCCGACCGCCTTACACCTTTGGACCATGTCTTTGAGCTGCGCCTCGTTTCCACTTCTGCTGACCAGCTTGTAACTGACTGGCTGATAGCGCTCCCACCAGGGGCGGTCGCCGTCTGTGGTAATCATGGTGTGCTCCATAGGCGGGGAAATCTAAGGTAAAAAAAGAGAACTCATTACAAGACTTACCATGGGCGGAGACACATACTATGCCGAAAAGACTGGCTTGTTTTATCACTGAATGCATATAAATATAGTTTATCCGTTTTTTTTTTTAACATGCAAAATTTTTTTCCTTATTAAGGAGATTAAACGCCTTCTTCCATTACCTTAAATTTATTTAACCATTCCATTACCTTACATTTATTTAACCATTCCATTACCTTACATTTATTTAACCATTCCATTACCTTACATTTATTTAACCATTACATTACCTTACATTTATTTAACCATTCCATTACCTTACATTTATTTAACCATTCCATTACCTTACATTTATTTAACCATTCCATTACCTTACATTTATTTAACCATTCCATTACCTTACATTTATTTAACCATTACATTACCTTACATTTATTTAACCATTCCATTACCTTACATTTATTTAACCATTCCATTACCTTACATTTATTTAACCATTCCATTACCTTACATTTATTTAACCATTCCATTACCTTACATTTTTTAAAGCTATAAATTCTTCTTTAAACAATATTTATATTCAAAAATATTATACTTCAAAAACTACATTTGGAACAGAATCTTCGAACACATACGTTTTAAATTTCTGATTATTTGTATTGTATTTTTTTTCCTCTTGTCTGCCGGCGAAGGCGTTTAGCCGAAACGTCATCGTCATTGTCAAGTCTTTTTATTTTCAACCCTTAAAAAATATTGTTCCATTATTTACTTTGCCAGGCTTGAACGCAGTCCCTTACATGGTATCCTATATTATCAATATCTGGAAGGTAAGTGATCACAAAGATCACACCCCTCCCCCCCCCCTCCTTTTTAAACCAATCTGCCATTGTGTTACAGACGATCAATTAAGTGAAGCTGCATTATAACTTATCGAACTAGCAAATCTTTCAACTGACCTGGACGCCACAAAATCCTTTTGGTCCAAGATATCTTTCGCACTCTTTGGCAATGTCAGTCCATTTCCACTCAAACAAGTGGACAATCACCTGCTTCCCTCCACAGTGGGGATCATGGTAGGGGGCCACCCCATGGGACAGCGCTAAATGGAGAAATGTCAGACATTTATGAAAAATTTAAGATATTCAAATTATCAGTTTGGTGGAAAATAGCATGGGTCTTGTAATTTGGGTGTTGTGCTCAAACGTTGTAGCCGGTAAAAATAACTCTTCAATGGCCACACACACAAAAATGAACAGATCAAGTATTGATGTCTTAAGTTTAGTCAGCAAGATGCTCTGTTGGCATGTTGCTTAATATCTATTGTCCCTTGTAGACATCATTCAAGAATAGGGCCTACGTCAATTATTATATATACGCTAACATAAGTGGTCGAACGCTTTACCTCCTTCTATACAAACCATTCAAAGGAGTTGCATAATATTTGATGGTTCCTCCCTGATTCCCAACATTCAACTCCCAAATTCTTACCCCAACTTAATCAACGCTATCACTCTGCCCCAATCCCTCATTGAGTTCAAGGTTCCAAACTTAGCGTGCTTTGAGGGTTAGAAAGTTAGAACGCAGCAATACAGTCTCACACCGTCTACAGGATTAGACCCATCGGGGCATTAATCACAGGTACGGTGGCAAACCTGCCTGGGTAAAGCAGACGATGACCACACATAAGTCTGTTTCATGATCCTTGAGCATGCGCAGTGAGGACACGCTGGTCAACTTGCCCTTTGGATAACCTGCCCTTGACCCACAGAGAGGTGAAAAGAAAACTACCTGAAATTGTCTCTCATTTCTAGAACTGTGTTTCATTTGGTTTAAACAAATGATTGACATAGTGGTTTTTTGTATGCGTTTTATAAAGTTAGGTGAATATTAATTCGTAGACAATGAGTTTCATTATCATCATTCAGATCCGGTAGCCAATTTGGCATGTGACCCGTGACCCGTGACCTTGGTGAAGAATTTACATACTCTTCGCAGCTAATCTTTTGTTTTTTTTTGTTTTTTTTTATTGTTGTAAATATATTGTGTTTGTGTAGTCTGGTGTGTGTGTAGGCTGGTGTTGTGGTGTAGTCTGGTGTCGGTGTAGTCTGGTGTTGGTGAAGTCTGGTGTTGGTGAAGTCTGGTGTTGTACTGAAGTCTGGTGTTGTGGTGTAGTCTGGTGCCGGTGCAGTCTGGTGTTGGTGAAGTCTGGTGTGGTCGCCATCTGGTGTTGTCGTAGACTGGTGTTGTGGTAGTCTGGTGTTGGAGTAGGCTGGTGTTGTGGTAGTCTGGTGTTGTGGAAGTCTCGTTTTGTAGTAGTCTGGTATTGTGGTCGTCTGGTGTTGTGGTAGTCTAGTGTTGGTGAAGTCTGATTTTGTGGTGAAGTCTGGTGTTGTGGTGTAGTTTGGTGTGGTGGTAGTCTGGTGTTGTGGTCTAAAGTTGTGGTAGTCTGGTGTTGTGGTGTCTGGTGTTGTGGTAGTCTGGTGTTATGGTAGTTTGGTGTTGTGGTAGTCTGGTGTATTGGTAGTCCGGTGTTGTGGTAGTCTGATGTTGTGGTAGTCTGGTGTTTGTGTCTGATGTTGTGGTAGTCTGATGTATTGGTAGTCCGGTGTTATGGTAGTCTGGTGTTGTGGTAGTCTGGTGTTGTGGTAGTCTGGTGTATTGGTAGTCCGGTGTTGTGGTAGTCTGATGTTGTGGTAGTCTGGTGTTTGTGTCTGGTGTTGTGGTAGTCTGATGTTGTGGTAGTCTGGTCTTGTGGTAGTCCGGTGTTGTGGTAGTCTGGTGTTGTGGTAGTCTGGTGTTGTGGTAGTCTGGTGTTGTGGTAGTCTGGTGTTTGTGTCTGGTGTTGTGGTAGTCTGGTGTTGTGGTAGTCTGTAGTTTGTGTCTGGTGTTGTGGTAGTGTGGTGTTGTGGTAGTCAGGTGTTGTGGTAGTCTGGTGTTTGTGTCTGGTGTTGTGGTAGTTTGGTGTTGTGGTAGACTGGTGTTTGTGTCTGGTGTTGTGGTAGTCTGGTGTTGTGGTTGTCTGTTGTTTTTGTCTGGTGTTGTGGTAGTGTGGTGTTGTGGTAGTCTGGTGTTGTGGTAGTCTGGTGTTGGTGTCTGGTGTTGTGGTAGTTTGGTGTTGTGGTAGTCTGGTGTTTGTGTCTGGTGTTGTGGTAGTCTGGTGTTGTGGTAGTCTGGTGTTGTGGTAGTCTGGTGTTGTGGTAGTCCGGTGTTGTGGTGCATAGTTTAAGCTTTATATATGAGGTTAAGGCGTGTTTGAAACTCTTTACAAGCATTGCATTGAGTTGAAATATAATTTGGTGCAAACATCAAACGTTTATTCTTCTTCTTCTATTTATAAATGGCCCACGATCAATTCGCTTAGCGTAAATGGACAGTAAGTCTTAAGTATACGCCAAGTCGTCTGCTGTATAATTTCAGTATAATTTGGTTGGTTTCTTGTGTTTTCCTGTTTTAACTCAGTGTCTTACTCGCTCTATCAAAATATCTGACAACCCCTGGCTTGGGACACGGGTTGCCAACTCCATCAAATGTACTGATGAACATTTGAATAGATTTTGTCTTTCAAATCTGGTCAAAATTATTTGTTACGACCAATGTTTATAAAAATAAATAATAAAAACACTATGGAAAAGATTTATATATACATATATATATATATTATATATGAAGTATATAATTCATTGTCAGCTATAGTGTTAGTTTAATGTATGGTATTATCATGTATGTTTTACTTTCCCAAGATTATGATCATACACGAAAGAACCCATACAAGTTGAATCTTTTTTTTTTTTTTTTTTTTTAGCTTAAAAAAAAACAGAAAGGTGTTTTTTTTTTTTTTTTTTTTTGGTATTTTTTTAATTTTTCAAGTGACGGACGGTTGTCACCCCTTCTCGGCTGACAGTCAATATATCTTTCAACCGAGTCTAACTTGAAAAATTGGAAAGTGGTTTCAGCATAACATTTTAACATTTCAAAGCGGTGATTTATTTGTTCACGAGACAAGACGTCTTATGTATGTGCAGTCTAAGTGTAACCAATTACAGAATATTTAGTGAACTTACACAAGGCTCCCACAAGAAAAATGAACAATTCCCGTAAGTCAATCATCACTTGTCTAGAACTTGGTGCATCTGTCGCTTCTCTACAACCCACGGTTACTGTCCCTACAATAATGTAAGAAATGGGCTAAAATAAGATAAGCAAGGACTTAACTGATTAACTAAACAAGGTCAACATATTGGACAGTGGTGGCGGTGACCTGGCCTGGCTTCCAGAGCGTTCTCTCAAGGGAGTGATGCGGTTAGCTCTCATGGCCAGTCAGTTGTGCAACCAGTGGACACATAGAACTTGTGTAGGGTGAGGCTCTATGTTTTAGTACAGGTAGCCTATAGAATTGGGACGCAAATGATTCATGATTCAGCTACGCCACTGAGGACAAGACGCCAAACATAACTTTTGAATCATTAGTTTCTAGACTATTGATTTACAGAGGTGTAGCATTCGTGTGGCAACATTTTTAAATTCATTACTTGTTTGCGTGTGCGTGTTGGAGGTGGGAGGGGGGGGGGGCTCTTCAGCCAGGTTACAACATTTATTAACCTCTAAAAGAACCTCAATTGAAATAAACCATTATGTAAGGGATAAACTTTACCATTATGTAAGGAATGAACTTTACCATTATGTAAGGGATGAACTATACCGTTATGTAAGGGATGAACTTTACCATTATGTAAGGGATGAACTATACCATTATGTAAGGGATGAACTTTACCATTATGTAAGGGATGAACTATACCATTATGTAAGGGATGAACTTTACCATTATGTAAGGGATGAACTATACCATTATGTAAGGGATGAACTATACAATTATGTAAGGGATGAACTATACCATTATGTAAGGGATCAACTATATCATTATGTAAGGGATGAACTTTACCATTATGTAAGGGATGAACTATACCATTATGTAAGGGATGAACTATACCGTTATGTAAGGAGTGAACTATACCATTACGTATTATGGGATTAACTATGCCATTATGTAAGGGATGATCTATACCCATCAAATAAATCAATGACTCAGTATTTTGAGATCATGAACAAAGTTCCTCTCTGACTTCCAACACTTTCTGGATCCACTTAGGGTGGGGAAATATGGTTCAGGATAAAAACTCTGAGTCGAGTCGTTTGTAGAGCCTTGGAGTTGCCGTCGTGTTGACCTGACAGCAAACCTTGTCTGTCTTTAAGTCAACATTGACATACACTGTTATCTTAAATAGTAGAAGAACAAGGCATGGGGAAGCTTGAATCGAAAAACATGACATAAAGAGAAGAACGTTGTGTGTTGATATGGCCTTGGGAGGGATGGGGTGTAGGTCACCAAAGTCTATTGTTATGGCCTTGTGAGGGATGGGGTGTAAGTCAACAAAGTCTATTGTTATGGCCTTGGGAGTGGGGTATAAGTCAACAAAGTTTATCGTTATGGCCTTGTGAGTGGGGTATAAGTCAACAAAGTCTATTGTTATGGCCTTGGGAGGGATGGAGTGTAAGTCAACAAAGTCCATTGTTATGGCCTTGGGAGTGGGGTATAAGTCAACAAAGTTTATCGTTATGGCCTTGTGAGTGGGGTATAAGTCAACAAAGTCTATTGTTATGGCCTTGGGAGGGATGGAGTGTAAGTCAACAAAGTCCATTGTTATGGCCTTGGGAGTGGGGTATAAGTCAACAAAGTTTATCGTTATGGCCTTGTGAGTGGGGTATAAGTCAACAAAGTCTATTGTTATGGCCTTGGGAGGGATGGAGTGTAAGTCAACAAAGTCCATTGTTATGGCCTTGGGAGTGGGGTATAAGTCAACAAATTCTATCGTTATGGCCTTGGGAGGGATGGGTGTAAGTCAACAAAGTCTATTGTTATGGCCTTGTGAGGGATGGAGTGTAAGTCAACAAAGTCTATTGTTATGGCCTGGGAGTGGGGTATAAGTCAACAAAGTCTATCGTCATAGCCTTGGGAGTGGGGTATAAGTCAACAAAGTTTATTGTTATGGCCTTGGGAGTGGGGTATAAGTCAACAAAGTTTATTGTTACGGTCTTGTGAGTGGGGTATAAGTGAAAACAAAGTCTATTGTAATGGCCTTGGGAGTGGCGTATAAGTCAAAAAAAAGTCTATTGTTATGGCCTTGGGAGGGATGGAGTGTAAGTCAACAAAAGTCTATCGTTATGGCCTTGTGAGGGATGGAGTGTAAGTCAACAAAGTCTATCGCTATGGCCTTGTGAGGGATGGAGTGTAAGTCAACAAAGTCTATCGTTATGGCCTTGTGAGGGATGGAGTGTAAATCAACAAAGTCTATCGTTATGGCCTTGTGAGGGATGGGGTGTAAGTCAACAAAGTCTATTGTTATGGCCTTGGGAGTGGGGTATAAGTCAACAAAGTCTATCGTTATGGCCTTGTGAGGGATGCAGTGGAAGTCAACAAAGTCTATTGTTATGGCCTTGGGAGTGGGGTATGAGTCAACAAAGTCTATCGTTATGGCCTTGGGAGGGATGGGGTGTAAGTCAACAAAGTCTATTGTTATGGCCTTGGGAGTGGGGTATAAGTCAACAAAGTCTATCGTTATGGCCTTGTGAGGGATGGAGTGTAAGTCAACAAAGTGTATTGTTATGGCCTTGGGAGTGGGGTTTAAGTCAACAAAGTCTATCGTCATGGCCTTGGGAGTGGGGTATAAGTCAACAAAGTCTATTGTTATGGCCTTGGGAGTGGGGTATAAGTCAACAAAGTTTATTGTTACGGTCTTGTGAGTGGGTTATAAGTCAACAAAGTCTATTGTTATGGCCTTGGGAGTGGCGTATAAGTCAAAAAGTCTATTGTTATGGCCTTGGGAGGGATGGAGTGTAAGTCAACAAAGTTTATTGTTATGGCATGTGAGTGGGGTATAAGTCAACAAAGTTTATTGTTATGGCCTTGGTAGTGGGGTATAAGTCAACAAAGTCTATCGTTATGTCCTTGGGAGTGGGGTATAAGTCAACAAAGTCTATTGTTATGGCCTTGGGAGTGGGGTATAAGTCAACAAAGTTTATTGTTATGGCCTTGGGAGAGGGGTATAAGTCAACAAAGTCTATTGTTATGGCCTTGGGAGTGGGGTATCAGTCAACAAAGTCTATTGTTATGGCCATGGGACTGGGTTAAAAGTCAACAAGTCTATTGTTATGGCCTTGGGAGGGATGGGGTGTAAGTCAACAAAGTCTATTGTTATGGCCTTGTGAGGGATGGAGTGTAAGTCAACAAAGTCTATTGTTATGGCCTTGGGAGTGGGGTATAAGTCAACAAAGTCTATCGTTATGGCCTTGTGAGGGATGGAGTGTAAGTCAACAAAGTCTATTGTTTTGGCCTTGTGAGGGAGGGGGTGTAAGTCAACAAAGTCTATTGTTATGGCCTTGTGAGTGGGGTATAAGTCAATCAAGTCTATTGTTATGGCTTTTAAAACGTGTAAGTGAACAACGTCTATTGTTATGATCTCGGGAGTGGCGTGTAAGTGAACAAAGTCTATTGTTATAGGCTTAAGCGTACAACTGTTATTTCCCTTTTGTGAATTTTTCGTATCGCTGCCAAATTAACTTGGAGCAATGTTCTACCACCCACCCCCACTCAAAGTCTCCCCCCCCCCTCGTCCCCTCCTTTATTTGGAAAGTTTGCTGATCACTGATCTCCACTGAAAAGTTCTATACAGATAGATAATACTCTCAGACCCTTGACATTTAAGAACTTCCATTCTGGAAAATATAAAGACCTTGACTATAAATAAGATGGTCGACTGCCACCTGTAGACCTACTGTAACTGTAACATATTTTAGTACAGTATTAAACATGTTCCCTTACTGTACTGTAATTTATTTGCGTATTACACATTTTCAAATACTGTTCTGTAATTTATTTGAGGGTAACACGTCTGGACGTACTATTCATCATCCTCATCCTCATGTCCCTTAGTCCTTGGACCGTTGGGGCGCCACAGATGACATGTGAACCATCCTCCTCCATTCGTCTCTGTCTTCTGCACTACGCACAGCATCGCCCAGTGTTAGTTCTGTCCGCTCTTTGATGTTATCCTCCAATCTTTTTCTTTGTCTTCCTCTTCTTCTCCCTCCTCTTTTGGTGCCCTGCAATATTTGTTTGGCAAGTCCTTGTTTCCTTGTTACGTGGCCGTTTTTTCACAGTCACCAGTAGGTCATCGTACTCCCCTATTGCCTGACGAACCCTTTCTTTCACTGTATTATTGGAGATATGGTCCCAATAGCAGATGCCCAAAATGCTTCTGAAGCATATCATCTCCATATCCTTTATTTTCCTTTCAAGATCAGCTGTTAATGTCCAGGATTAGCAGGCATACAGGTAAATGGAGAGGACTAATGAGCGCATCAGCCTAATTTTGAGGCTATATTTTTGTCATTCCATATTTTCTTGAGCCTCTTTAATGCTGTTGTAGTCTGTTACTTATTTGAATATTAAAAGGCTAAGGATTGTTGGTACTTCTTTAGATTTGAGAAACCTTGCTGTACTTTATTTGAGTACCGATATTAAACGTCTTCACGTACCGGTAAAGTAGTTAACTACAGTATTACGCAACTTCACGTAGTGTACATCTTTGTATTGGTATCATTATATTTTTGAGGTTGCATTGTTACATCAGAATCAATAGTATAAATAAATTATTACTTGAAAACTAGATGTGGTATTGTTCTTTCTGTCTTTACATTTCTACAATGGTACTGTCCCATTATTATCTACTGTATGTAGAACGATTCATTGAAAACAAACAGTAAACCTCTACGTCATAAATGTACATCAAAATCTCCGAAGGAAGTCAGCTTGGAGACATCTTCTTCTTGCTGTGAGATCCAGATTGACACAGTTTGGAGACATCTTCTTCTTGCTGTGAGATCCAGATTGACAGACATTTTGAAGGTCTTTTTTCCTGACCGTGATGGGCTCACAATTTCAGTTCACTGTTTCTAAATGATATTGTCAATTTGAAAAAAAAAAAAAGCTTTTCTTTTTGTTTAATATTCACAGAACATGACAATGACGTAATAAATGGCTGATTTTTTTTTAATGGTGGAAAAAAAGTAACAAAATCTGCAGGTGTCATCTAAATTTTTAATAAATATCGTCATCAATAATGTTACAGATAAGAACGTATCACTTTCACCAATGCTACGTCATCAATAATGTTACAGATAAGAACGTATCACGTTCACCAATGCTACGTCATCAATAATGTTACAGATAAGAACGTATCACGTTCACCATTTCTAAAGTGGAACAAAATGGACCCCGAAGACGAGCACACAGAATTGGGGACACCACGTGATATCGACCATAAGGTCACCTCAACTTAAAAGTGCATGCCATTCGTTTGTAACTGCGTCACTTTGTAAACAAAACGACAACAAAAATGAATCTGGAACACAACATGCACGAAGGGAAAACATACAATTAAATTATTGCTTCACAAGCCTTTCCACAAGAATAAGAATTTGAGAGCCACTGGAGTAAAAAAAATATAATGTTCTCATTGTTAAGTGTACATCACCCAAAGTAGTTAGCTACAAACAACAGCCGACACTACAACGCTACTACTATATACACCACAAACCAAAGTGAACGTTTGACCAATTGAGGGCTGTAGGGCCATGAAGAAAATATATCGCTTTAAAAGTTGCAGTCTACTGTTGGTATTTCTTTAGAGTTACGGAACCTTCTCATATGACCCAGATTATTGGCACTTCTTTAGAGTTACGGAACCTTCTCATATGACCCAGATTATTGGTACTTCTTTAGAGTTACGGAAAATTCTCATATGACCCAAAAAGTTGGTACTTCTTTAGAGTTACGGAACATTCTCATATGACCCAAAAAGTTGGTACTTCTTTAGAGTTACGGAACCTTCTCATATGACCCAAAAAGTCGGTACTTCTTTAGAGTTACGGAACCTTCTCATATGACCTAGATTGTTGGTACTTCTTTAGAGTTACGGAACCTTCTCATATGACCCAGATTGTTGGTACTTCTTTAGAGTTACGGAACCTTCTCATATGACCCAGATTGTTGGTACTTCTTTAGAGTTACGGAACCTTCTCATATGACCCAGATTGTTGGTACTTCTTTAGAGTTACGGAACATTCTCATATGACCCAGATTGTTGGTACTTCTTTAGAGTTACGGAACATTCTCATATGACCCAGATTGTTGGTACTTCTTTAGAGTTAAGAATTATTCTATGAAGTCAATGGTACCAACATGCTAATTCTAGTTCATAAAAAAAAATGTCTTGTTGAGTTCATGTGACATTCTACATTCCAAATAGTCCAACAGAGAAGAGATAGATAAACCCAAATGAACTGAAATGTTAATAGCCTGGCTCCAGAAACAGAAACAATCATATCAGTTTAAATCAATATAACAACCGGGCTGAAACAATTTACAAAGCCTTTCTAAAAAAAAAAATTAAAAAAAATAGAATTAAAGCTACAGTTGTTGAAACACTTGTCTTGGTCACATGTTTTAAATGATTGAGTACATAATTGAGAAATAATATTGAACAAAATTTAACCTCGAATAAACAATCCAGTAACCAAGAATGTTCAAATAAATGAAGTACAAAAAATGTTTTACTATGGAAGGTGTCCCTCAGGGGAAGAATGACTTTATAATAAATAAAAATGTGCAGGCACTTAAAACAAGAATTTAAATTGCCTTCATGAAATGTGTTATTGGTTCACAAATAACAAGTCATTTAAACAAAGAGCTTAAAATGCCTTCATAAAATGTGTTATTGGTTCACAAATAACAAGTCATTTAAACAAAGAACTTAAAATGCCTTCATGAAATGTCCCATTGGTACACAAAGAACAAGTCATTTGATATATGTCAACATTGATGGAAACTGTGATGATCAGCAGTTAGTGGTTTTTCAGGGCATCGCTTTGGTTGGTACACTCCTTGTCATTAGGGTTACATACAATGTACAGGGTGGCTATACAAACTACGGGGTAGCTATACTGTGGATGGGGTAGCTAGATAATGGATGGGGTAGCTATATTATGGATGGGGTAGCTAGATAATGGATGGGGTAGCTATATTATGGATGGGGTAGCTAGATAATGGATGGGGTAGCTTTACTATGTATGGGCTAACTATAAAATGTATGGGTTAGCTATACTATGTATGGGGTAGCTATACAATTTAAAGGGTAGCTATACTATGCTTGGGGTAGCTAACAATGCATGGGGTAGCTATAAAATGTATGGAGTAGCTAATCAATTTATGGGGAAGCTATATAAAGTATGGTTTAGCTATACTATGTATGGGGTAGCTATACAATTTATGGGGTAGCTATACAATGTATGGGGTAGCTTTACAATGTATGGGGTAGCTAACCAATGTTTGAGGTGGTTATACAAAAAAGGAGGTGAATGTCTCAGACAGAGTTAACTGCACTGCACACCATTATCAAAAGAATCATTTTAAAATTCCTATTCCTGCTAATGGTTCAAGTTATTCCTTTCAGGATTTCACACATGACCACCAGGCATAGATCTAATCCCTTTACTTATCTTCATTAAAAAGTTTCTTTTAAAGAACCTGCTGCAACTAAACATGGCCTTTCAATAAATCTAGGATTTACCATACCTAAATGATGGGTTCACATAGTTTTTCAAGGCATCATCATCATACCTTTAGCAGGGAGTCTCAAGACAAAACAAAATCAAAGGTGCCATTTTCACATCTAAATTTTGAGAAGTTGGGGTTTAAAAAAATCTGGCTAATATTGAGCAATATGTTACAGGGCTGTCTGTCTGTCTGATGTCGGTCTGTCTGTCTGTCTGTTGTCGGGCTGTCTGTCAGATGTTTGTCTGTTTTTCATGGGGTGCACTGTCCACTCATAAGATTATTCAGGTTGTCTGTTGGTCTTACAGGTGCATCTCTGCTAACAAATAAATATATCAAAGAGTTGAATTACTAACAATGCTATTATCAAAATATCCTTCAAGTTCACAAACTTCATTTCGGCTACTTGTAAAAAAAAAATGAACAAAGCCACCAACTATTTTGTTGACACCTTAAACCTAAGAGATATTGATTCTTGAGATCCAGGAGTCGGTATGGTTAACCCATTTTTGTTTAAGTTTAGAAACGTTTTTAATTATTTCCCTTGTTTATGCATGTTTAATTATTTCCCTTGTTTATGAAAATTTTCGCTTTAATGTCCACGAACAATGAAAAGGGTTCTTAAGCCCAGTTTCAGAACCACTGCTGTAGGAAGACTTTAAGAATTGAATATTGCTCTTGGCTTTTCTTCTGTGTGAGCAAACAGTCAACAAATGTAAATGCCTCGATGAATCATAACAACACATCTTGACAAAGGTTAGGTTAGCTTAGACCTTCGATGTTCCTCAACACAACAACATTGAATTAATGGTGCTCAAAGCTTGTCAGTCATCTGACAATGACGCAACATTCATCAGCTGTAACAACGCATAACACCGTTATGATCAGACCAGGTATAAATCCGTCCGAAACATGACCCGGTGCCACAGAGGAAGGGTTTCGTTTTTTGCCTCTGTCATAACTGTTGCTTAAGTACAGCGCAGTAGTGCGCAGACGGCGTCTGCTGTTTTTCTGGACTAAGCCAATTAAGTCTTTATTACACCAGAAAAGCCATTTACATCTGGTCACATCAAAAACAACATCTCTTAAAGAATCAATTGAAATCAGCTCCAGCTAATAAACTTGTCAAGTGGTTTTAGACCAACTTGAAAGAAATGACAGAAACATTTTAAAGTTGACTTTACTGTTGAACTTTGCATAGATTAAAATAGCACACGTTTCCACAAAGCTCTTAGCCTACCCATAGTAGGAAATAAAAGTGAGTTCACCATGACCAACTGGGACACGGAACAGTCTTTATAAAAATGTGGGGGATGGCCAGAAGAAATGTTACGTACATGTTTAATAAGAATATGCAACTGTGACAACTAGTCTTTCCATTAGCTAATCACAATAAAACAATGTTTTGACATTCTTTGTCATTTCAAATACCCTGTCTTTTAACTTAATGATTAAAAAAAAAATTCACCAATAAGCCAAAGTTCTACAAGCGTGTACTTGGAGACAAGATGAAACAATAGGTGTGAGATAGTCCAGTACTTGCAGACAAGATGAAACAATAGGTGTGACATAGTCCAGCACTTGCAGACAAGATGAAACAATAGGTGTGACATAGTCCAGTACTTGCAGACAAGATGAAACAATAGGTGTGACATAGTCCAGTACTTGCAGACAAGATGAAACAATAGGTGTGACATAGTCCAGTACTTGCAGACAAGATGAAACAATAGGTGTGACATAGCCCAGTACTTGCAGACAAGATGAAACAAAAGGTGAGAGATAGTCCAGAAGAAACGGAAGCATTTCCTGCTGGCAGCAGTCTTAGTGAGGGGCGCGTGAAATATGGCTGAACTGAATGTTTGGGAGACATGTAAATATTAAAATGGAAAATAGAATAATTGGAACAGATTATAAACAAATTAATGATAGGCAAGACTGCATTATTAAATACCAAATTTTTAGTGTAAATGACCCTGATAAGTTTTAACAATGAGGCTGAGACAGACAACTTAAGAACCCCTAATGAAGTTTTTTTTTTTTTAAAGTATAGCTTCAATACAGGCTTCATTGCAGTAGTATAACCAAAGTGTGGATTTTGTTCTCCACCAGAATCAATGGGGACTTGAAAAGTGCTGCTTTGTTTTAATACAATATTCCTAGTTCTTTTCTGAAAAGTTCTACTTTATCTAACATGTCTGAACATGTCTATGAGTTGGCTGTAAGTAGAGAATGCTCAAACAAAAAGATTAAGCATAGTAAAATTGACATAGAAATTAATGATTCTATTTGGCTTTTAAAACATTTGCATAAAATTCAAATCATACAATATAACATGTTTATAATTAGATACAAATAACATGTCTATAATTAGATACAAATAACATGTTTTGTGGGACATTGTTAAGATATTGCAGTCTTTATTAAGTAGATAAAACAATAATAATGATTAACTTGTTTATGTGTTCCTACATAATGATAGGACATTGTGAACTCTAGAGGTCCACATGCACTCTGATAATGATGTACAAGGATATAGCACATGAAATACATCCTATCTTGTTGGGTCTAGGTGCCACATAAAATACATCCTATCTTGTTGGGTCTAGGTGCGCACATGAAATACATCCTATCTTGTTGGGTCTAGGTGCGCACATAAAATACATCCTATCTTGTTGGGTCAAGGTGCAAGGACAAAACCATGGCATATAAAACAAACTCCTCTTGGAGGTAGACTTAAACAACGAAGCGCTTTAACACACCATGTCTTTCTACATTTTCTAACCCAATGATATGTTGAATTTTTTAAAGAAAATTGAACTGGAGCAGTTACCAAGGTAACAGTTTAAGTACATTCACAAAACAAAGGGTCAAAGGTTACACAATTTCTGTGTGCTTATAAACAATAAATACACAACAAATTAACATCAGAAACTCAGGATGCAAGACATTCTCTGCAGACATTTCAATGGTATATCCCCTTGTGGCACAGTGATGAGCAATTCATAACAAAAATGAAAATATGTGCAGGAATGCCAGCTTAGGTTCTTTTGAACTTTCTGAGTATAACACCAAGACATGCGACCTTTGCTTTCCTCCTAACAACCAAGCAATGTCAGGTTAAAAAAAAAAAGAAGTCCCAAAGTTTATCAAAAATATATTTTGAAAAAGAAGAGTTGTGTCACGGGGGAGATAAGACAAACGAGCAGAAATTTGTTTGAGCCAAGGCGAAGCAAATCTTGATTGTCCGAACTTAGACGAGTCTGACGGGCCACTGGCTCGCAGACAGTGTTTTCTCACAACTAATAACATGCCCTATTTTTAATCAGTCAATGGCACCTGCTTCAAACAGTTGGTTGATTAAGTTGTACAACATTACCATCAACATCAACCTCATGAAGTTGGACATTACCATCAACATCAACCTCATGAAGTTGGACATTACCAACAAAGACTGATTTTACAATGTTATACAACAATTCCATCATGACTAAATTTTACAATGTTATACAACAATTCCATCATGACAAAATTTTACATTACATAACATTACCCTTACCATTAACCTTCACAAAGCCAGATGACATGATATTCACCACAAAATAAAATCAGTGGGATAAATCAGGTTGTATTTTAATCCATTTGGAAAGAAGTCAATCCATAACTATTCCATGGGTAAATAGGGAAAGACATTTCGTATGTTATGGTTAAGTGCAGCATCCAAGAAAATCATCACATAGCATTACACAGACTATATTCTATCTTCCATCTTACACAGTAAAACTACTTTAGCTGCTGTTTGTGTGGATCATTAGTTTTTTTCTTCAAAAAAATCTTATCTTAGGTACTAACGGCCACTAACGGCCACTAACGGTCACTAACGGCCACTAACGGCCACTAACGGCCACTAACGGCCACTAACAGCCCCTAACGGCCACTAACGGCCACCAACAAGCTTTTTTTTTCTTACCTTATAAAGTATTCTTTATATCAAGATCTTGTAATACATCAATTAGCCTTATAACATTCAATTATATTTCTTGAAAGCAAGATCTTGTGATATATCTCTTAGCCATATAGCTTTCAATTACATTCCCTTATATCATAACATAACATAACACAAACTAAACATCCTTCACTTGGAGAACTATTTGAAGAAAGATGTTTTTGTAAAACTAAACACATTTTTGGATGATACATCCCACCCTCTTCATCACTGATACTTAGGATCGACCCGTTCGGGACAAATTCTTTCCGTCAGGGTGAGGGCTGAAAGATATAAAAATTCTTTTGTTCCCTAATCTGTACGCATTTACCAGCGTGCTCCCCCTGAAGTCACACATCTTAATGAGAACTAAGTCCCCGATATGGCTAAGAGAACTCACTGAATGGCTGCTAGAGAAAAAATTTATTACAAATGTCTTGTTTCAAATTGTTTTTTATGTGTGCTGAAAATGTACAATGCAATCATAAAACATTTCCATTTGTTTGGATCAATAAAAGAATGTTATCTTATCAAGATCTTCTGATACATCTGACAGCCTTTTGTCATAGAGTCACAAAACATCAGTTGAAAACATCTGTTCCCGTTCCCAAGCCCATATAAAGTTGACAATGACGTGCATCAGATGGATGCTCAGTCAGTTAGCAATAAATTAGTCCCTGATCTCTAAATCCCTGAACACAGATTGGTCAAATTTTAAGGAAGGCAAATTTCTCCCAAATCTTTCTTTCAGCAACACAAACAAGAAATATGGTTGTGTTTTTATCAATTATTTCATCATTTCAGATTTTTTTTAATTTAGGAAACATATACATTTTATGAAAGAATCACGGTAAGAATAAGTAGGGCTTGAAAAAATGTTTGCTCAGCTTTTTCAGGGGTTCTTAACCTGTGATCCACAGACCCCTTGGGGACCATGGAAAGGTTGGGGGGTGGGGGTGTCATAGCATTTGTATTATTTTTATATTTATATTAACACCCTTTATTATAATAAAGGGGTTCTTGGCCTTCACCTCACTGGCAGTTAAGAAGCCCTGAATTTGCAGAGAGAATTTTTAAAAACTTGAGTGTTATCAAGTGTGCTTAAAAAATCAAGATGGTTAGAGATTTGACCTTCCTTGGAGTTATTTTAGCATTCAACGTGATGGGTCAATCCTTCACATTCTGGATTTGACGTGAGGGTTTTGAGGTGAAATCAATAGAACAATTCAAATAAATTTTACAGAGTTCTTACAATTAGGACACAAAAAGGAAAAAAAAAACAAAAAAATAACTGCAACATTAACATGCAACAAAAAACTGAATGTGGTGAAACGGACCAAATGAAAATGTTCGTGTCAAAAGAAACCACAGAACCTGAGTAAGTTAATTTAAGGATGTGAACTGAATTTTAAGTTTAGAAAATAAACCAACAAGTTTTCATGATCACAATTACTTTAATCTTACATAACCGTCGACCGGGGCCTAAAGATGGATTTTTTTGGTTAAAGTACAGAATTGAATGGCAGGGAGATACAAAAAAGTGCTACCATACTACACGACACTAGTGATGTGTCCCTAGATGATGCCCACCAACCCCCAGGTGCCTAACCTTAACATGACTGGATTATACAGTTACAAACCAAATATTAGTTTCTTTATTACCTACAAAGAATATCGTGACTGTACAAATAGAGCAATCGAACATCCTCTAATACAAGCGAATGAAACAGGCAGCATAACATAGTTCAAGTACCAACACAGCATTGTTCAAGTAGCAGCATTAAGTTATAAAAATAGAGATTTGGCATTTTACTTTGTTCTCAGCATGTAAAATAATATAACCGTCTGTGTATAACACGAGCCAAAGGAATGTCACTCAAAGTTTTCCAAAAATAAAAAAAGATAATAACTTTTTTGTATATTTGTTTCATGTTGTGTTGGAAGGACGCTGGTGCACATTTTACAATCCCACATGTTCAAAGACGCGGTCAGGCGAGAATAAAACTCGCCGGTTCGTTCTCATCTAAAGGTTGAACAAAGAGATCTCAAAACAGCATCAATAAATACTTCGAGGCAAAATAAAATATGAAATTGTTTGTGAGCTCAACATTGGTACAGTTAAGTAGGTAGATCACTTCTTGGTGACAAATGATGTTGTTCTTATCATACATCAATTGATCAATGTTCTTATCATACATAAATTGATCAATGTTCTTATCATACATAAATTGATTAGTGTTCTTGTCATACATAAATTGATCAATGTTCATATCATACATCAATTGATCAATGTTCTTATCATACATAAATTGATCAGTGTTCTTGTCATACATCAATTGATCAATCATCTCACAGAAGCGTTTAATTCTGGCTTCCTTCCATGCTAATTGAAAGTTAACAAGATCTCTTGTTAGTGATAAATTTGTGTTCTGAAAACTTGCAGCTCTGAGAAATCTTTGGACTGGGCTTTTGTCTCAGAACTCCATGTTTCCATGACAGTGTTTCATAAAGTGTTTATAGTTTCATAAAGTGCTCACTATGATATAAAGTGCTTACTATTATAAAAAGTGTTTATTGTTTCATAGTGTTAACTATTACATAAAGTGTTTATTGTTTCATAAAATGTGTATTGTTTCATAAAGTGTTTATTATTACATAAAGTGTTTATTGCCATTCATGACTTGGTCAATTACCTGATGATGTATCCACAACAATTTTTTGATCAGTGATTTGTTCTAGGTCTTCTATACCCAATGTTTCATACAGTCAATACGTGGACTGACAAGCCAAGAAATATTACCCTCTCAATACAGATACTCCTATCAGCTGCCAGTAATCCTAAAACCACACATATATATTGTGATCTCAAGAGCAAGAGCAGTGCTTCTTTCATTTTACTGGAGGGGGGGGNGGGGGGGGGGGGGGGGGCACAACCCATAAGGCATGTCAGTCTTCACCTGGGGGGAGCCCGTCTGGGTTGAGGTATTGGCAGATCTGAGACTCACTCTGAACAAAGATGACCTTGCTGGCTGTTATTTCATTGAGCCTGGATACAGAAGAAAGTTGGAAAAAATATCTTTTAAAGAAAAGAAGCCTTTTCAATGCCAAACAGGCTAAAATGTCTATGTACCGGCTGCTTACTTAATTTTGAAAAATAACCAAAAAATAAGCATGAAAAATAAATTCCTTGACAAATGCATCATGGGAAGGCTTTGTATTAATTTACGTTAATTTTTATTGAAATAATAGTATTAAAATAATGAGTAAATACAAAATTCACCTGCAATAACTCACTCAACTCAACCTTTGAACTCTCAACTCCACGCTCTTTTTTCTTTGCCCCCCCTTCCAACAAACACCCACTTTTCCCCCAAAGAATCATTAAAAAAATTTCATGATTATATCATTTGACAATTTTTTTGGATAATATTCATTGCAGGAATAGAATTATATAGACTCCAGGCCATTTTAAAGAGATTTGACATACGTCTTACTGAGAAATATACAATTCTACAGCCTCCAGGCCACTTTAAAGTTAAAGAGATTTGACATACGTCTTACTGAGAAATATACAATTCTACAGCCTCCAGGCCACTTTAAAGTTAAAGAGATTTGACATACGTCTAACTGAGAAATATACAATTCTACAGCCTCCAGGCCACATTAAAGTTAAAGACATTTGACATACGTCTTACTGAGAAATATACAATTCTACAGCCTCCAGGCCACTTTAAAGTTAAAGAGATTTGACATACGTCTTACTGAGAAATATACAATTCTACAGCCTCCAGGCCACTTTAAAGTTAAAGAGATTTGACATACGTCTTACTGAGAATTATACAATTCTACAGCCTCCAGGCCACTTTAAAGTTAAAGAGATTTTTATATCTTAGTGAGACGTAATCAAGTGCAAACAAAGCCACAATCGAGTCAATGGCTCCCTACCAGGGTCGTATGACAGCCCAACAGCCTTGAAACATGACTGGGGCATTGTACACTATGCACACCCCCAGCCTCTCCGGGTAGTACTTCCCCAGCAGCCATATCAACTTCTTCACAAACTGGTAGTCCATGTTGGCCATAGAGAATCGTTTCATGTCAAAAACTAGGCAGATATTGTCTATGATTTGCTCATCCAACCTTTGGAAAGTCAGCTCCTGAAAGAGATCAAGAGAAGAAAGAAGTTTTCTTATGTTCCTCTATTTCCCACTTACATTGCTCAACATCAATGTTGTCTTTGACTTTGGCATCCTACTGGTTTCTAAACTAGGTGAAAAGAATTTAGTCCTTTGTCGGCTGTTTTAAAATAATATCCTTAAATAGAAATTCAAAAAAAAAAAAAAAATTTTAAATTAAATTTTTTTTTTAAAAATTAAAAGGATCAACTGAGCATTACTATGGCACATTTGATGGACTGGATTTGTTAGTTTGAGAACAGTAAACAACAGATTCAAGTTAAACCATATCATCTAACTTGTCTGATTAGGCAAAACACTTCATATATTTTTAATTGTTGTTCATAAACAGTTTTGACTAGCCACACCCCTAGTTTTCAAACTAAACAGTTTTGACTAGCCACACCCCTAGTTTTCAAACTAAACAGTTTTGACTAGCCACACCCCTAGTTTACAAAATAAACAGTTTAAACTAGCCACACCCCTAGTGTTCAAACTTACCAGCAAATACACTGTGAACTTGGTCAACTTGTCTAGGTCTCTGTCTGCTGCCGTGTGTCTCCTTGCTATGATGTACATAACCGGTCTGAAACAAAGTCATTGGATGTGCATCATGATGACAACAGGTCTTTTAACGGGTCAGATTGACACAAAGAATGAGAGTAATTAATGAGTGTCAGATTGACACAAAGAATGCGAGTAATTAATGAGTGTCAGATTGACAC